CACAACACCCAACGCCAATGCCTCCCCCACCGCCAGAAAAAGAAACACCACCACCACCACCACCACCACCCTCCTGGCACACCGACCCCTACTGGCGCCACCCCCGCCGCCTCTCCCCCGCCCAGCTCCTCGTCCACGACATCGTCCGCCTCGAGCAGGAGCACGTCAGCGAGTACGCTCCTCATCGTGCCGGTCGGCCCGACGCCAGCAGCACTACTAGCCGTCGTGGTCCGGCGCAGCTGCTGGAGATCAAAGAGGTGCTGACGACGGCGGTGGCGGCGGAGGTGGGGCGGCGCGGTAAGGATCGTTTGAGGGAGGAGGTGGTGGGTGCGGCGGCCGGGTTGCTGGGGAGGGCGGAGGCGTGGAAGGTGGAGGGGTTGGTGGGGGAGTATGGGTGGATGGCGGGGTTGAGGGGGGGTGGTGGGGATGGTGGGGACGGTGGGGACGGGGGTGGGAGGGAGTGTAGATGGATGTAGGTGGTTGCTCTCTTTGTCTTTTCTTCGATGCGTTGGTTTGGGGGGGTTTGGGGGTTTCGTGGGGCTTTGATTAGGACTGTTGGCTGATGGGCGCGTTGTCGCAGTCATATCTCTAGCAAGTTTCCGGAGTATCTGGAAGGAGTGCGTGGCGCTTTGCCTTGTCTTCGTTTTTACGCGGTTGATTGCTGACGAGGTTGTGTTTTTCAGTGCCTTCTTGCGTTGTCGGATTGGAGTGGGGATCCTGCGCGCGTGGTTGCGTCGTTTCGCAAGCTGGAGCACTGCATTTACCAGAACGAGCGGTTCTCGAAGCACGGGCGGTATTTCTCGCCATTTTTGCAGCGCCTGGGGCCGGAGTGGGACGACAGCGATGAAGACTGCAGTTATCCGATGCTGATCAGCGTGCCGTTCCTGGATTGGACGGTCCAGGGAGAGCCGCCTCCACTTCGCTTCCAGATCGATCCGAGAGAAGGTTTCCAGTCCAGCAGCGGATCTTCGCACATGCTGAGGTCTATTTTGCAGTATTTCTACCGGTTGGAGGACACGAGCGATCGGGAGAACAGCCAAGTCTTTTCAAAGTATAAGCCGTGGACCACCGACCGCGACCTTGACTTGAAAGTCCGCAGTTTGTACGGCCACTACCCGTGCGGGCTCAATGTGGACGAAGTCTGGATCCTCGCCATCGATAAAAGACACATCGTGACTTTCTCGAGCAATCAAAGCTGGAAGTCTCGCTGGCCACCTCTGCAGCTGACTTCCAGAATCGCCGAGGTCTCCTTCCGCGGCATCCGTAACAACTTCTTCCGCTCCGAGCAGAACCCGGACTATACTGCGATGACACATACTGTAGCGTGTCTCAGCGGAGCAGTTGGGATATTACATAGGAGCTTTTGGTCGGATTTGAAGCTGTGTCTAGTCGACCGCTATGCTGGCTATCTGGGCCACTTGGTACGTCTACGCCCGTGGATTCGGGAAAACCGCAAGAATATCTGACAAATAATGGAACATCACAGCAATACCGTCTGCACCGTTCGCCAAGCACAAGACTTGTCATGGACCTCCTGCAGGTACAAGAAGAGCTCAACATCATCATCCAGATCACCGAGCAACAGCTCGACATCATCACCCAACTCCAAGACACGCTCGACGCAGCCAGCAGCCACGAAACCCTCTCCCCCAAACGCACACCCACCAAAAGCCGACGACCCCATCCCCGCGGCCCCCCAGCCCGCCACCACGCCGGCGCCGGCGCCAACGCCGACGACGACAACCCCCCCCCCCCACCAACGACGCGGCCCCCCCCCTCCTCCTCCCCCCATCCAGCAGCACCCGCGCCACCTACCGCCAACTCTCGACGACCCCGTCCGCCCCCGCCCCCGCCCCCGCCCTCTCCTCGCCGCCGTCGCAGCTCCGCGAATCCCTCGCCCGCGAACTCGCGGACCTGCGCTCCCTGCGCGACAACAGCAACGCGCTCGCCAACCGCACCATCCAGCTCGTCAACATCCGGCTCGAGGACCACGGCAAGGCCATCCTCGTCTTCACCGTCGTCACCGTCGTCTTCCTGCCGCTGTCGTTCGTCACGAGCTTCTTCGGCATGAACTTCGCCGACATCCGCGACATGCGGCAGACGGCGCAGGGGCAGACGTTTTGGGTCGTGGCGGCGAGCGTGACGGTGGGGGTGGTGGGGGTGGCGGCTGGGTTGGCGTTTTGGGGGGGTGAGGTGGTGGAGTGGGGGATGGATTGGAGGGAGGGGAGGGAGGCGGAGAGGAGGAGGAGGAGGAGGAGGAGGAGGGGCGGGGCGGCGCTGGTGCCGGGGGCGGGGTCGGACGCGGGCGGGTTTGGGGTCTCGGGTGTTGATGGGGCGGGCTGGTGATGTGGGAGGTGCCGTGCAATTCAGCTCGTTGCCCGAAGAGACGATGGAGTTTGACTCCTGGTTTGGAACTTGGTTGTTGTTGTTTAGGGGGTTTACCGGCCTGAGGATTGTTTGGATGTGTGGCAATGTCTCTGGTCGGAACCAGACTTTACGCACATGAGTTTAAACTTTGCCTCCTCGTCGATCATCATCCTGCGGAACTTAGGCAAGGCGGCCAAGGAAAGTAAAAGAGCTAATTGCGTATCCAGCACGATGCCTCCAATATCTCGCTCGCCTGTTCTTGACACGGCACGGTCGCTGCGGGCAAACGTGATCTAGAATGGCGACAAGCTGGGGCGGGATGCGTTTGTCGTACAGCAGGCTCGGCATGCTGTTTTTGTCTCAGACATGTGGTCGCTCGTGACCCATGTGCCCCTCTTCAGGCTGAAGCTTTCGAACAAAAACACTTCTCTGCGTTTTCCGTGTCATGCCGGTAAGCGCTTCGCTAGACACACCTCAGCAAAGCCCCGTTGTCTAGGCTTGGAAACCTGCGCATGCCCGGCGTTGTCAGCGTCGTTGTTGAACGGGCTGTCGCAGCAACTGAGCAAACTCGCCGGCCGGTTCGCGGTTTAAGTTGTTTGCTCCCCGCTTCCATCCATGCACGCCGCTGCTGATTCCACCTTCTTGTTCTGCAGCGAAAGGGCCCCACCGCCTCAGCTCCCATGATATAAGCAGCATAGTCAATGGGGCGCCACTGAGAAAACTCCATCTTCCGCCAGCTTCCGCCACATCTGTTACCACTCGGAGTTCCACACCACGCGGGCAACAATGCTCCGCAACACCTCAACCATGATCACGCCGCCCGCTTCCCCGCCCACCGCTGCGGCGGCGACGACGACCACGACGCCAGCTTACAAAGCGTACCTCCGCCCCACGTGGTTCATCCAACGCGACAGCGGCGCCTACGTTCCTGTCATCCCGGTCGACGAGCTGCCGGCGTCCGTAAATCTAGCCGAGGCGCCGCGGTGCCTGAAGGACGACGGTGCCCAGGGAATGAAATTCCTCGGGAAGCTGCCCTTCAGCGGGCAGACGTACAGTCTTGTCGTGGTGAGTGGACATGAAACGAAACACACGAACTTTTTGACCGAAGTGAGAGTGCTGACGTTTGCAGAAGGAGCAGCAGGAGCACAAGGACACCGCCCGGGACAACAGCCACCACCGCTCCATCCGCTACCCGCTCCAGCACCGCACGTACTCGCAGACGTCGCTGCGGCCGCTGCTTCTCAGCGAGGCCTGCTCCAAGCCTCGAGCTCCGCCTCACCCAGCCACGACCACCAACACCAACGTCGATGACGCCGCCCCGTCTCGTCGCGACACACCGGTACGTCCTTCCCTCACCCCCGCCACGCTCCCTCTTCCCCCAATTCACTAACACTATCCAGCCCGACCCTCGCCTCCCTCCCTCCGGCCGCGAACCAGACCCCGCCAAAAAGGAATACTGCACCTACTGGATCCGCACCGGCGAGTGCGACTTCACCCAGCAGGGCTGCCTGTTCAAGCACGAGATGCCGGACCTGCGGACGTTGAGGGAAAAAGTGGGTGTGGGTGCCGTGCCGCATTGGTGGCAGATGAGATGTGCGATGGCAGAGAGAAAGAAGAGGGTGGGAGAGGAAAAGGAGAAGTGGGTGGGGGAGGTGCCGGGGTGGTTGGTGGACAAGATGGGCGAGGTGGAAGAAGAGGACAGCAGTGATGATGAGAGTGTAGTCGGGATGGTGAAGAGTCGCGCGACTGTTCCCAACACGGTTGGTACGACGAGGGTGTTCCGCTCACCGGACCATGCGGTGAGGACGACGAGGAAGGAGGAGGCTGAAGAGGAAGGCGCAAACGCCGCGTCGCACCGCCTTATAAACGACACCATACCGTCGTTACCGGCAGACACGGGTCGTCAGAGATCGCAGCAGCAACAGCGCCGCAGCCATGCCCTCGTCTCCCGCTTCGACGACACCGCCTCCTCATCCTCTCCCGTCTCGACACCCCTCCCTACGCCCCCCACCCCCACCACGCCCTCCATCAGCAAACGCCACCACACCTCCCCCGCCACCCCCCGCCCCCACGCCCGCAGCATCAGCGACGCCCAAGCCGACATCGCCCACCGCCTAACAACCACCCACCACCACCAGGTCCACCACCACCGCCACCGCCACAGCACTACCCCAACCATCCCCGTCCCCACCCCCAGCCCCAGCGCCCGCCCCCGCACCCACACCCACACCCGCCGCCGCGAACCACTTCCCACCACGACGAAGCGCCACACCCCTTCCTCCGCCCTCCCGCAGCTGAAACGCCACTCTTCCCCCCTCACCACAACCACCACCACCACCAGTACTTGCGCCTCCCCGCCGCCGCCGCGTCGCAGCATCATCGTCACATCCGCTTCTCCTCTCCCCGCGGCTACGGGGGGGCGGCAGCAGCTTGTCGGGCTGCGCGCTTCGAGACACGCGGTTGGTGGTGATGACGATGACGATGTGCCGTCGTTTGAGCCGGCGGCGGTGGCGGTGCTGGGTGTTAGGGGGCCGGGGGGAGGAGGTGTTGGGGCTGGTGGTGGTGCTGGGTCTGCTGGGGGTGGGGCGAAGAGGGGGAAGGTGAGGGTGGCGGCTGCTGGGAGTGGTGCGGGGGCGACGAGAGTGCCTGTGCCGATGAGGGTTGGTGGGGGGATGGTGGTGGGGTGAGGAGGAGGAGGAAGAGGAGTGGGGGGGTTTGAGGGATGGGTTTTGTGGTGGTGCTGGATGGGTTACGTGTATAGGATGCGCTTGCTGTTTGGTGGGTGCTGGGTTTCGAGGGTGTTTGGATGGGTGGTGTATATGGTGTTTCTCTTTTTTTTTTGTCTCTTGCATTCCAATTCCGATGAGGGTCAATGACGAGTACAGTGAAATGAGAACACTGCTCCATATTTCTACGCCACTACTTTACAATTTTATCGCAGAGATCAGTGACGGAAATATCAAAATATATAGACTTCGCAGACGAAGTGATGGGGAGTAGAGTGGACTGTGATATGCTCACTGTGCAAGAGGCAGTAAATGGTAACCCCGAACTTACTCGAGTAGAAGCAGAAAAAAGAGTCCAACGGGTAAACGATATAGCAGAGGAGCATGTGATGGATTTTTGAGGTGAGCGACGGAGACAGGACAAAATCGCGAGTGCACCCGGGAGTGTAATGAAATGCTGCTAGAGAAAGACGATGGTGGTAGATATATACAAACTCCACATTCAATCCAAGCTTATATCAAACTTCCTCTCAGAACCGTCCATGTGGGGACCGCCAACAATTAGACGGTCATTCTCGCCACTGCATATGTCTAACCCCACAACTGAATCCATACTTCCTGAATGTAATTCCTTGAGAAGGGGGCGTCCAATCTTCTACGTCCCAGTCGTGATCTTCATGTATAGTTGGTCTGACTTGCCGATACTCGTCAATTAAAAGTGTTGATAGTCGTCTCCTTTGTTGCACCCAACGTTCGTGATCACCGCTCGGAATGACTGATGACATGTACCCTTGGCTTTTTTCCATGCTCATCACAAAGTTTACAACATTGAGCTCCAACTTCAGTGGTTCAGATGGATCGAAATCATTCCTGCGTCTCGCTTCCACATAATCCAACATAGCGCCTCTTCGTGCTAGAAGTTTGGTCAGCCGAGCCTCCCAGTGGCCTTCAGATAGCGGGCGATCCTGCTCAAGGCGGGAGCTTAGTTCATCTTCTTCTTCACGTATTTCCTCCCAATCTTTGTATACCGACTCCATTCTTTGGCGACGATGCTGCCAGTAGTTTCTCCGTTGCTGCCCGTTTCTTGCGCATGGTTCATCAAATGGAGCCTCGTACGAGAATTCCTCGTGGGTTAACATGTAGCAGCACGTGTGTGTTATCCCAATCTCTTCACTCCGTTGAAACCTGTCCAGCTCTTCGATGAGTGATAAGATGACTTCGTTTCTCCCGCATAGTTCAAGCATTATGAATAGCTCTTGAATCCATACGAGACAGATATTGAAGTTTCTTTTGAGAGCCCATGTCGAAACGAGTGCCCTCATTGGTGAGCAGCCTTGAGGCGAGCAGTAGCATCGGCAGTTATCTCTTTGGGTCAGGTTGCCGCCCGCTAGAAAAAGAACTGCCACCGTCTCCATCATTCGGGTGAAATTCTGGATGTCCCAAAACCGAATGATCGGCATGTGAAGTTCTCTGTGATAGTAGACCGCTTTGAATGTGTGATGAAGGGCAGTTTGACCATTCCAGTCAGTGTCGTTGATTCGCGCTCCTTTGACCAGAGCTTTTCGCATCAACTCGGGGTCCAAAAACCAGGCAAAGATCATCAAAGGCGTATAGCCTTCCTCACTTGATGATGCATTGATGTTGAAGCCGGAATAGCCGAGAAGGGATTGTGCATGCTGCGAAGATGTCGCATAATGCAAAGGGTCAAAGCCCATTTGTTTGAATTCATGCGGGTGTTCACCAGCAGAAGCTGTCATCCTTGATAGGAGATGGTCGATCGCTTTCAGGTTCCCGGAACCGAGGTCAACTCTAGCGAATAGCAAGGGCTCTACGACATCAACGAGAAATCTTGACGGCGAGAGCTTCTGCATGAAACAATCTACGAGATGGAGAAGTGGCCTTTCATCTGAAGCTGTTAATGCAGGGTTTAGAGAGGGTAGATAGGGCCAATTCTGTGGACAGGCTGGAGGAAATTTTGCTCCCGCTTCAACGAGTATAGTGATGGAATCGAGATAACCATATTGGAGTGCGCAGCAAAGCGGGGATGTGTCGTCGAAGCCTCGAGAGTTGATCCCAATTTTGTAGCCACTTTTCAGCAGCAAATCTAGTACGGGTGGCCACTGTACCGCCAAGTGGAGGACCGTTTGCCCTAGAAAATTTTGGGTCAGGTCTAACTGCTGGTTTCTCTTGAGATACTTCTTGACCTCATCCAATGCGCCAATGGCAACAGCTTCGTGTAATGGCTGGTACTGTCCAATGTCTGTATGAGCTTGTTAGATCACAGCAGAGGTCTTTAATGAAGATAGCCATACCGATTTGAGAGCGGGAAACTTCTGTGAACATTTTCAATAGCCAATAGTCGGTAGAATGGCAATGAAACCCGATTGTATTCGGGTAGTCAATTGGTGGCAGGCACCTTAGAAGTTCCAGATCAAGTTTTCCATGGACAATTGTGAAGATGGAATCCCCTGTGCCTTTCCAGGTAACCCCTTGTTCAGTTAAGAACTTTGCCAATCGGACTTTTGACTGATGATTCGCTGAGGTTTTGTATCGGTCGTACAGCACCTTGACACACTGTCAGCGCCCTGGCGACCACATTTGCGTAGCCTGTTGGGCAACAAAACATAAACTTACCTCGAGGTAACCAGCTCCGAATTCTGTCGAGTCTTCAAAATCGATGACACCGCAACTGCGAAGAGTTTTCAACTCCACCAGAGTTTCCTCGAAGGTGATCTCGTCGGCGAGGCATCGGTCGATAGCGGTAAACCCTGGGTAGCCCCGTTTGACAATGTTCTTTAATTGAAGAAAGCACGCAAGTGAGAGGCCGTTGGCCCAGCTTGCCCCAAGACTGAGTTGAACACATTTCCCAAGGATTGTAACGCTTTCGACATATCGCCGGCCGGAACAGTTGCAGGTGATGGGCTGAGCAGCCGGCACAATGCTCAGTATGCGGCGAACCACTCTGTGGCAACGGCAGGGACACTCGCCTATGGCGCAGAGTCTTCCATTGTCTGTACTCTGCCGACGAGCGTTACGCCTTACGTTCGGAAGGAAGTCCTGCGCCATAGAGGGAGTGACGGCTGCACTTGGATCCGGCGTTCGCTGCATCGTTTGTTGGCTTTCCTGCGCCTCCCTGGCCAAACGCTGCTCCTCAAACAAGAATAGCAACTTTCGGGTATTTTGTTCCGTCTCGCGGCAGATGTGAAGGAGGATGACCTCTCGGTAGTCGTTCAGATCGTCAAGAATCGCTTTCACTCGACTGTCCTTGAAAAACGCCCGAGCGGCATTCATCGTCTTGCTGAACGTTGAAGAATTTGGACCAGGCACCAAGGACGCGACAAGGCTGTCCAATTCCTCTATGCGGAGCTTGCAGCTCTCGAGAACCTCGTGCAACAGCGCCTCCTCTTCCTCTGAGCCATCTCCGGCTCGTGTTGCCGTCTTGTCGAGGGCTTTGATGTTGCTGGCGAACAGTTGTAGTTGCGACCGCAGCCTGACGAAGGCGGCATTGCCGCGGTACTGTTTGATGCGATCAACGAGCTTGTTGCAGGCGTCGATGACCTGAATGACTGAAGCGCCGATGCTGAGGACGGCTATGAGCTCGGCGCCTGACATGGTGGGAGATTTGAGAAAGCCCGTCTCATGGCGAGGCCCAGGTGATGAGAAGAGTGAAGAGGCAGGCTCCAGTGCGGAGCAAACATCAAGGTGGGGAAGCAAGGCTGTAGGCATCAGCGAGGCTTAAGTGATGACAGGGATTATTACCAATTGTATCCTGCCAACACAGCCTTGGTGCGACAGCTGGAACATTGCAGAACAGCAGCCATCATCGCCGATTTGGAACGCATGAATGGCTCAGATATTCCATACCGAGCTATGACGTAGGAGAACATAAACGCCAGTACCATCAGGGAGACATAACTAGTTGATCAGATCGCAACTTAAGAACCACACCTTTAACAATGCAGAAACACAAAGCTCAAATTGATATCTAGCGCAGTCTGGGTAGTCATATTGCTGGACCACACCATGCAGAGACCCACCCCAAAAGGAGGTCAACGGACAAATAGAGAGGGAAAAAAAAATTTGGAGACAGAGAGGTATGAAGCACAAAACAGAGGGAAACAGAAGTATCCACCAGGTCCGGTTAGGCAGCAAAAGGAAGAAGTAGAAACCCCAATCTTCTCCCGGTGTCGCTCCCAATTATTCAATCCCAAATTTAAACCGCAGCAAAAAAGAAAAGAAAAAAAAAACACCGTTCATCCCATCCCATCCCTTTTCAACCCCTTTTTCCCACCAGCTCATGACGTTTTCGGCTCCTACCAGTTCCTTATTTCCTACCATTGAACACGTAACAAACTTTCCGTAGCGGACAAGACATTCACATTGCCTCTCCATCAAGGCCTGGGACGCGGCCCGATAATCGGCCTCCGTCCACCGAACCCAATCCCGCTTCCCACCCTGTTCTGGCTATCGCCACCGGTGAACCCATATTGGTTGACATCCCAGCTCTGGCCGGGGTTGCTGCCCGCGCTCGCGTCACGCGGCGTCTCCTTCAAGCGCTGTTGGCCCTCCTCCCACTCCTTCTGTCGTTGGCGCTCTCTCTCCATCTCGCGCTCCAAGAGCGACTTGCTGGCCCAACCGCCAGCCTTCGTCTTCCGCTGAGAGGCAGCACGGCGCTCGTCTTCCGCTGAGCGCTCTGCAGCAGAAGTAAATCCAATCTCTGAGGCAGCAGTGTGACGCTTTGCAGGCGGAGAGAAAGGAGCGGGGTTGGACGAGAGGAAACGGTCGGTGCGGTTTGACGAAGGCGGCGAGATGGGAGAAATGGGAGACTTCGGAGTCTTGGGAGACTTGGCGGACATATAATCTGCAGGGTTAGGTAGAGGCCGAGGGGAAAGAGGAGGAGGAGAAGCGGTAGCCGGATCCGGAAGCGGACGCGAGGGGAGAGCTGGAGCTGCGCGGTTATGTTCATCCCACTGTTGGCGAAGGTATTCGCGCTCGTCGCCTGCCCAAGATACATTACTTTCAGGGGGGGAAGGGGGGCGTGCCGAACCGGGACGAGACCCGTGGATGCGCTCCTCGCGCTCGCGTTGGTATTGACGTTCCCGTTCCTTGGCTTCGGCCAGCTGTCTTTCGAGGTCGGCTACGCGCTGTCGTTCGGCTTCGAGTTCCGGGTCGTTGCGGCTAACTTGTCGGCTACGGGGTTTGAAACCTTGTTCGGCTTGGTATTGGGTCAGGAACTGGCCTCGGAGCCTAGCGTCGCTGTTGGCCCTGGTGTGCTGTGTCTCCTTTTCGAGTTGCTCTTCAGCCTCTCGTTCTTCGCGTAGCCTGGCCTCCTCGTCTGCCTTCCACTTACGCTCCTGCTCCTCCCACTCACGTTTTTGTTGTTCGACCTTCAGCTTCTCCTGCTCCCGTTGCTTGCGGGTCTCTTCTTCCCACCGCCGCTCCTCTTCGGCCCGGGCCCGGCTTTCCTCCGCTCCACGCGTCGCCCGCTGCTGTGCATCAGCCTCCTCCGCCTGTTTGCGCTTGCGCTCCGCCTCTGCCTCCTGCTCTTTGCGCTTGCGCTCTTTTTCTGCAGCACTGGGGACATGGGGCGCTGCCGTGGTAATCTGTCTCCTCGCGCCGTATACCACACCTTGGTTACCTGCGTTTGCGCCACCCATGTAACCTGTTCCAAACACCGTTAGCATTCGGCCGATACATGGATCATCGCTGTACTGACCGTATTGTGCAATGTTCCATGCTGGCGAGGTCACACCCTCGTCATTTCTCCTGCTCCAGCTGCTGGTAGGGCCAGGAGACCTAGCCCCGCTCGACGAATTCGAGCCACCGGTTCCCGAGGGGCTGAGAGCTCTGAGCGGCGGCGGCTTGGCTCCGCTGCCAGTGCTGGCATTGCTCAGCCCCCTGTCACGTCCCGGCAACCCCGGCGACAGGCTGCCGTTGCTCTTCTTGGGCCCGATGCACGTGGGGAACTTGGCCGGGTTGAGGGAATGGGCAATACGACTGAACGAGGCCAGGCATTGTAGGACTTGGGCGGGATCTTTCTTCTCGAACAGGTCGACGGTCAGAAAGCGGTCGTGGGCGTGGAGGCCGATGGGCTGCTTCTCGCAGGCCTTGAGGAAGTGGGAGATGTTCTCCATCTGCATGAACGGCATGGCGGACTTCTTGAACTTGATGCCGGGCGGCGGGATGGCGAGGTTGGCCAGTCTACGCAAAGAATGTGTCAGCCTAGAGTGGCGCGCGGGGAATGCGGTTTGCGCCGGGGAGCGCAGGGCGCACAGGGAGGGAGCGGACGTACTGGCAGAGAATGGTGCCGTCCTTCAAGGCATCCATGAGGTCGCCCGGCGGCAGTTTCTGTCCCAGCGTCTCTTCTATCCATGTGGTTGTCTCATTGACGGCGGCGGGATCCTTGGCCTTCTGCATGCGCAGACGGCGCATATCCTGGTCGAGACTGCTGACGCTGGCCATGGTTGCGACGGAGAGGCATGCACTTGGGAGCGATTCCGGGAGAAGAAAGGGTGAGGGGTGCTTTTGAGGGCGAGAGATTAGGAGCGTAAATCGTGGCTCAGGGCCGTGAGAAGGAGGGGCGTTCCTTGGGCACGGCCAGGGATAAGCGTAAAGTCGTGGCCAGGCAGCTAGTGCGGATCTTGGGCGGGAGCGGGCGGCGGGCGACGCGATGTCGGGCGCAAGATATAAAATCCAGGACGTCACAGCAGTCGCGTGGCTGGGCGCCTGGCATTCTACGGCCTCTGAGACGTGTGCTGGCACTGCGGCGGCTGCTATGCCCCCGCCACCGGATTTCACGGCTGGGCGGCGCATCGCGCTGCGCGGAATGTCCAGTTTCGCGCCCTGGCCGCGACTTCCCCTTGGGGGGGCAGGCAAACGTCATCCTGCCGGAGGCGGGCGGCGACGCGGGCGGGCGGCGGCAGTCTTCGGAGGCACAGCGGGCGAGCACGAGCTCCGCCGACGCTTGTCAAATGCATGCATCACCATTCGCCGCGCCGCCTTCTGCGCTTTCCAACGATGCCATCCTCGCTCCAGCATGCCGCAACCCGGGCGCCTCAGTCAGCTGTGGTTTAAGTGGAAGGCCCTCGACCTGCCTTGGCGCAGGCAATGGCTACGTGGTACGCTCCCACCCCAGGCATCATCCTCGTCGGCGCAATTTGGCAAGGCTAACAATTCTCCCCAGGCGCCGACCTGGCCGGCAACACCTTCTGGGAGTTCAAAGAAACCCGTGGTGCCCAGCGCTTCCGTCGCATAGTCAAGTACAGCCGTCGTACCCACTACGGCGACGTTAATTTGACCCGTACGTCTCCTGTCTTGAACCAATTTCTGCCCTTCAACGCCACAACGTCCACCCCTATATCATGCATCGAGGGTCGAGACGAACCTGGAAGCGAAATAGCACACTATTTGGGCATATGCGCCACTCTAGTGTAAACTTGCGCCAGGGCGGAGTGGCACCCATGAAGTCGCAGACTTCCTGGCAAGTCGTTCTTTGGAGAAGTCTGCCATGGAGCCTCCCTGCCACTGCAGCCGCGTAGCGAAGCTCATAAAAAAGCTCGGGGGCGCGCGCGCGCAAACACTGACCATTTCGCTACCATGCCCATTTCGCTTCCCTAAGCGGTACACTATATATATGCACGGCCGATCCATAAACGCTAACGACGCCCTTATTAGCACAATGGATCCAATGGCTCCGTCACACTCGGTCCGATCCGCCCACCATCGGCGAGCAGCAACTCGATGAGGTCCGACAGGCGCAGCTGAAGCAGCTTGCAGCCGCAGCTGATGCCCGTTGGGCCGCCAAGCCCTCCGCTCTCGATCCACCGCCGCAGCCTCAACCCGCTCCACAGCCGGAGCAGCGTGATACGGCAGCTGGCACATCACAGACGGTGTTTGAACAAGCTCAGGGCGTCCGCAACGTCGCTGGCGCGCCGGACGAAGTGAAGGCCAGCACAAAGGGTCAGGAGAACGTGGATAAGGGGCGTTTCAAGGGCGAGACCAAACAGAAGACGCCTGGACCGTGGGAAGAGGCCAAAAGTCAGGAATGGCAGCCAGAACCCTGGACGCCAAAGCTCGCGCCAAGAAGGAAGTGAGAGTGAGGGAATGGAAGGTGTGGGGCAGTGCGGAGATAATAGACGGAAAATTCGGCGTTTGAGTAATAAAGTACCAATCCACGCTCTTGAACATGCCAATTTTTCTTTGGAGATATCCATCCTTGGCTGCGGTCTTTCCTCCGCATCCAATCAATGTTCTAAGATGGCACGATCGGTTGGGTTGGCTGAATAATTATGTACCTGCTTTATATCCTAAATCCGGCAGGTGCATCATGGAAGCCAAGAGTCCTAGTGCCAATCTGCAGCACACTTACATGGAGGGGTAGTGGGATGGTCTATACAACTTCAAGCCTTTTATCCTTATATCTTCTCTTAACTCACGATCACCATCAATCTCCTCTCAATTCAGTCATCGATCACCAACCACGTCCCATCAAATCGACCCGTCCACCACCACCACCACCACAACAACAAGAACAAGAAGAAGCAACCCACCACCAAACACCCCAACCCGGACCTCCTCCACAACCATGTCAACCACCACTTCCCCCTCCCAGCCACCGAACTCCATCCTCCTCCTCGGCGCCGGCGAACTCGGCTCCGCCATCCTCACCTCCCTCGCCACCCACCCCCACCTCACCAACACGCACCTGACCATCGCCCTGCGCCCCGCCTCCCTATCCAACACGTCCCGGCTGTCCGCCCTGCGCGCCCTCGCCCCCGCCCCGCGCCACCACGCCATCACCTTCGCCGGCCTCGACCTCGCCGGCCCCGCCGCCGAAACCGACCTCACCGCGCTCATCCTCTCCCGCCCCCACGCCGCCGTCATCGCCTGCACCGGCTTCGCCGCCAGCGGCAGCGGCACCGCCTCCACCGGGACGCAGACGCTGATTGCGCGCGCGGTCCTCGCCGCGGCGCGGAAACAGCGACAGCTTTCTTCCTCGTCGCCTTCGTCGCCGCCCCTCCGCTTCTTCCCGTGGCAGTTCGGCGCCGATTACGACACGACGGGGCCGGAGGCCGCGGGCGGGCTGATGGCGGAGCAGTGCGGGGTGCGGGCGCTGCTGCGGGAGGAGGCGGCGGCGGCGGGGGTGGAGTGGACGGTGGTGAGCACGGGGATGTTTATGAGCTTTGTGTTTGAGGAGTGGTATGGGGTGGTGGAGGGGCTGGGGGCGGCGTTGCGGGCGGGGGGGCCGGAGCCGTTGAGCGATGGGGGGAGAGTTGTTGTGAGGGGGTTGGGCGGGTGGGAGACGCAGGTCACGCTGACGGATGTGAGGGATATCGGGCGGGTGGTGGCGGAGCTGGTGGCGGAGCCGGCGCCGGTGCAGGGCGATGGTGGGGGCAGTGTGGTGTTTGCGGCGGGGGAGACGGTGACGTATGCGCGGTTGGCGGAGGTGGTGCAGAAGGTGGTGGGGAGGAGGGCGGAGGTGCAGAGGGAGGAGTGGAGTCTGGAGTACTTGCATGCGGAGATGGAGAGAGACCCGAAGGATCAGACTAAGAGGTATCGCGTGTTTTTTGGAGAAGGCAATGGCGTGGCCTGGGATAAGGAGAAGACAATCAATGCGGAGCGGAACATCGACTCCATGGGGGTGGAGCAGTGGCTGAGGGAGAAGCTCAGCATGTGAGCGGATAAACAATTCCATCAGTATTGATAGTCTTGGCTTAAAAAAGAAAGCTCTCTGCCTTCAGCTAGTATACTCATTAAAAGAAGACAACGGCCTCCGTTTTGCTCCACAATGATAGTATGCGCCGCATCCCTACTTTTCTTCTTTTCCGCCGAGTCTCCTGATGCCCTCCTCTGAGTTCTGATGACCTTCCTCAAACCCGATGGCTTTCGCCAAGCTAGACGCTTCGGTATATCTCCTCCTAGCCTCTGAGATCCTGCCTTCCATCTCTGCAAACTCTCCAAGATTGTGAGTGGCAACGGCACATGCCATATCACACTCTTCATCGCGCTCCGGGGGCGCAATAGTAGACGCAAGATTGACGGCCTTAGTAGCCCATTGACGAGCTTGTTCGGTTACAGGTGGTAGAGTGTGAAGCGGTGCCGGGGTAGAAGGGTTCGAAGGCGTAGTGGGAGGGGAAATTTTGTTGGCAGACGCACCAAATCCAGGAGGCGGGCGCTGCTGTATAATTGATATGGCGAGGTTGTTCATAAGCGTGGCCGCGTGGCACGACTTAGGATTAGCGACAGTAAGTGCTTGAAGGAACAAAGGGGTGGCAAGATAGTGCTGGTCCATCGCTTCATAGTGGTGTGCAAGCGCTGGAAGTTGTCAGTGCTGATATCCTCTTGAATGCGATGCAACGTTCAGGGTGTTTACCTTCCATCGACGCGCCCATCTCTTCGTCGGTAATCCAGTCACCCTCGCCCTCCTTTACGCCCTCTTTTTCACGCCTGATCTTTTCTCTGAGAACAGTCTCGACGGCCCAGATAAGCTTTTCTCCCGCCTTTTCAGTGTCTTTAATGTACTGATTGGAGTACAGATCACCGAGCTTAACGCTAATGCCAATCGTCTTGCCGAGCACTCTTGTCCTCTTGCCGTCGTTCCAGTGTTTGTCGCCAAATTCGTCGACCCATCTCAGACAATCCCTCCTCACAATCTCCAGGATATCAATGGCTCGCTGGTAGTTCTGCAGCTGCTCGAAGAGTGAAGCAAGCTGGAACTTGATGCCGAGCACCTCGTTGCTGAACGGGTCCATGCCCTCCTCATCCGCGGCGGCCAAAGCTTCGCGATAGTATTTGATTGCTAGCTTCGGATCTAGAGACCTCTCTTGGCTGAAGTATAGGGCGCGACGGAGCTTCTTTGCGACGGGCTCGGGGAAGTTGTGGAATGCGCCGACGATGTAGTAATGGTAGACATATGGTGCGTACATGAGCACACCGAAGCCAAACACAATGATTGCTGAGACAACAGTCATCGAGATGGGATGTCTTCGGAAGAGAATCTTCGCGCCTTCGATGGTCGATCCATTGCGACGGCCAAGGCGTGACGACGACGACGGTGGAGGCAGGCGTGGGCGCGTCGGAGTCTTTGTCGTGAAGGTGCGGGCGTTCGCGGTCGCTGGAGGTTTGGCAGCTGGGAGGCGCCGGGCACTCCTCAGTGCTGTTCTACAAGCTGCCCGCGAGAGCATGGTGGATGTCGTGGTGGCTTGAGAGACTAGCGCTGGACGTCAAGTGGAGGTTTTGTTCAGCCTTACGGTCGCGCCTGCCCTGAGCGCGGATCCCGGAACTCATGCGTCATCGCTGCTGCCGCCTTTGACGTCCGCACGACGCTACCAAAAGGCAGCAGAACCACCAGACTCCCGCGTCGCATTTTCCTCGCCACCTCCGGGCAAACCTACTATCGAACAGAAAATGTGTGGAAGATACGTTCTGAGACTGCGCCCGGCCGAGGTGCGCAAGCAGCTTGAGCAGTCGCAGATGCCCTCCGAAGAAGCTCCAGACGACGATCAAGTCCGGTCAACTTACAATTTTGCTCCTAGCTACAATGGAATCGTCTACAGAGCTGAAGTGCCCGATTCCGGTTCAAGGAAGTCTGATAAGAAAGACGAGAGCACAGAAAATGTCCCGGCCGCCGATGAAGCCAGCACATCACAAGATACTAGGTACAAGCTGCAAGCGATGAAATGGGGTAAGACAACCATGATTTGTTGTACGCGTAGAACATCACTATGTCAGCGCACTCGAAGGAGGGCCGGTTCAAAGCGTGTTTTCTGAAATATATCGGCCACTGCGACTTCGTGTGACTTCGACTTCAAGAGGCTATCGCTGATCACCTTGCAGGTCTCATTCCATCTTGGATGAAACGCAAGCCGGATTACGGTTCTATGATGAAAACGATCAACTGCCGTGACGACTCGCTCGCCGAAAACCGGGGCCTTTGGAACTCGATGAAACATCGGAAGCGTTGCATCGTTGTGTGCCAGGGCTTCTACGAATGGTTGAAGAAGAACGGCGGCAAGGAGAAAGTCCCCTACTTCGTGAAGCGAAAGGGTGGGCAGCTGATGTGCTTTGCGGGGCTGTGGGACTGCGTCAGGTTCGAAGGTACAGCATGCGGGTTACATCACTGCACGACTGGGCCGCCGCTAATCTGGACGTGCAGGATCGGAAGAGAAGCTCTACACCTACACGATCATCACCACAGATTCCAACAAGCAGCTCAGTTTCTTGCACGATCGCATGCCTGTCATCTTAGATAACGGCTCTGAAGCACTCTGGAAGTGGCTTGACCCTGGCCGTACCGAGTGGAATCGAGAGCTGCAGTCGCTTCTCAGGCCCTTTGATGGCGAACTCGAGTATTACCCCGTCAGCAAAGAGGTGGGGAAAGTTGGAAATGACTCGCCTTCCTTCATTGTCCCAGTCGACTCCAAGGAGAACAAGAATAACATTTCAAACTTCTTCGACAAGCAAAGGAAAGCTGCTCAAGGTAGTGGCGAGGCCAAGGTTGTCACGCAAGAAAACCAGGTTGCTGGCGCGAAGATTGACAAGCCCGGGCACGTCAAAGGTGAGGCTCGTGGCACCTCGGACGAAGATGGCACGGAACACAATGCACCGTTGCCAGCTCCCTCTGGGAACGGGGACAAGCGTGGTATCAAGCGGGAGCACGAAGACGCAGACGACAAAGATGAAACGTATGGCTCAACGCATGGCTCACCGCCGCCCCAGAAGGCAGCCAAGACAGGCGGCCAGGCCAGTGTCTCTCCCGAGAAAAGCAAGGCGAACGACTCGACCAAGCCAGGCAGGAAGACGAGAAGCGCCACAAGCAACGGCACTACACAAAAGAACAGGGGGGCGACCGCGGGCGACGGCAGTAGGAAGATCACGGCTTTCTTCGGAAAGTGAGATCAGACGGGTAAAAGAAGAGGCGGACCGCCGAGGACCCTGCAGATGGGAAGCCCACGCGCCGTTGCTCTCTTGCTAAGCTAACGTCCAGCATGCACGACGCATGGCACGCTGGTTTGGAGGGAGACAGCTCCGGTGCCCAATTGCAAACGCGCGTGTACCTGACGCGCAAGCACGGGTGCTGCGAGTGCGTCGGGGCGACTTCTCCATTATGCATGTCAAAGGATGCTGTCTGGCCCAAAGCGGCGCGGGTTACTGGCGGGCGCCAATTGCGGTTCGTGTTTGAAGGGACAGAGTCATTTATATGGTCACGGGTCTGGACGCATCGAACGATCGGATCCGACAGAATGGCATCAATAGTTTGCTGAAGGCTCGAGATCCGTCGCTGGGCAGCGCATGGGAAATTGCGCGCATAGGATCGGGATCTCGGAGGGGCGCGATTGGGCTGCGGGTGGAGACTTTGCATGCTACGGGGGGGTGAACCGGGGCGAGGATGGTGAAGAAGAGCGGGTTGGTGGTACAGAAGGTGAAGCATTGTACATATGGGGGCAGGGGGACCGATGAGGGCTCCGGGCTGGCGACGGGCAGGCGCTCGTAGTGGAAATGTAGGCGTGCGGCGCCGTAGAGGGGCCGACGGGTGCTCGAGTTGGCAATAATCCCAGGGCGCTGGAACTGGTGTCCCTCTTTTCTGCGTGGCGTGGCTCGGTGAGGCGACGGTGAGCAGTCCCCTGCCGGGAGCGTCTCCGGTTGCTGAGTCTGTTGCATCGGTCTTCGGGGCGCGCGCTCTCGTGTGGGTGCCGAAGTGAGGAGGACATGGACGGGGCATGCGACAGGCTGCCCTCCCCTGGGGAACGACGGAACGACCCTGGCACCCAGGTATCTCTGTCCTCGACGGGACGCTGTTGCAGCGTCTCCTGGAGGAGCCGCTCTCGGCCAGTCCAATGGCGACGGCAAGCCGGCGGCGGCGCAGAGAAAAAGAAAAGCTGCGTGGCAAAGCGAGGCAAAGCGAGGCCTTCGGTACGCAGGCGTGGAACTTATCACTTCTGCAAGGCCGCGTAGCGGGTAGAGGCCGGAAGCAGGCGGCTCCAAGCGAAGGGAGAGGGGCAGGCAGGCAGGGCAGGCAGGGCAGGCCGCAGGGCATGTTGGTACAAAACGGCCTGTGGCGGTGGCCCGCCCATTTTGCACATCCCACACGCATGCGCACTCGAGGCCCGCGCGCTTATGCCCATCGTCTGCCGCGGCGAAGGCTGGCAGAAGCATCGCAAGAAGACGCGGCGAGTCAGCGCCGCCACGCCGTCGCACTGTGCCGGCCGCTCCCTGTCAGCCCTGCTCTCACTGCAGCGACGCGGGTGCCAGACGTTGCCCACTCTCGCGCCTCTGCTGGAAATTTTCCACAGCCCCGTCCAGCGCCGCCTGGCCCCGGAGCATCAGCGTCCAGTGCGACTCGACGCTTAGGGCCTGCCATGATAAACACTATGTGACCGCTGGCCTGGTTCGGCGTCGATAGCCTGCTTCTGTCCTGCCCCTTCGCTGATCCTTCTCCAGCGCCTCGCGCTATTTGTTTGGCCGCGAAGCCGTTTCTCTCAGTCCGCCGCGTTTCGTCCTGCCTGCTGCTCCCCGGCTCCCCGGCTCCCCGGCATGGCCTCGTCGTTCTTTGCCGACCTGCTTGCTCAGAAACAGCCGCAGTTCCAGACTCACCGGGCCCTCATTGCCGTCGGCCTGCAGAACGACTTCTGCTCCTCCGATGGCAAGCTGCCCGTGACGCAGCCGCCGGGCCTGCTGGACCGCATCACACGGCTCGTCCCGGTCTTTCGCGAGCATGCCGGCCACGTTATCTGGGTCCGCACCGAGCTGGATCCCAACAAGCCCGTCGACGATGCCGACGATGCCGACGCCATCGTGACCGGCGCCCCTGACGAGACCCCCGGCCCCGAGGACGACGGCGGCAGCGCCGCGGATCTGGCCCAGGATGACCTGCCGTCTGCATCGGGCCAGCGCCGCCGCCGCCGCGCGACGGAGCTGCTCAGGCGCCTGCAAGCCCGAGCTTGGGACGCCGAGCTGTGGGACGCCGACGCCACGCAGGAGGACGAGCTGTTCCTTACCCGGGGCTCGGGACGGCAGGTCTGCGCCGCGGGCAGCCGGGGGGCTGACTGGGCTGACGATGTTGCCGGCGAGATCAAGCCCGCCGACACGCTGATCACCAAGACCCGCTACTCGGCCCTCAAGGACACCACGCTGCTCCTCACCCTGCGAGCGAAGCTGATCACCGAGCTGTACGTCTGCGGCTGCATCAGCAACATCTCCGTCTATGCCACTGCAGTCGAGGCCGCCCGCCATGGCATCGAGATCTACCTGGTCGACGATTGCGTCGGCTATCGCCAGCTGAACAGGCACCGAGAGGCCATCCGGCAGATGAAGGAGTACATGGGCGCCCACACCATCTCCAGCACAAATCTGATCGCGCAGCTTCTGGCAAAGGCGGGGAAGGGTGATTCTCCTCGTGCTCGCAAGCCTACCGCCGATGACGACTTGGGTGCGATGCTGAAGAACCTCAAGCTCCAAGACAAGGACAAGTCTCGCAGCAGCCGCTCCTCTCCGCCGAATCAAGCCGAGATTACGAACAAGCCGGCCCCTGAGAGCGCCGTCTCCATCTCGGCCACCCCACTCGAGGTGGCGGACGTGGCGGACAGCGACGATGCGCTGCTAGATGAGACGGCACTGCTGCTGGAGAGGCGCTCCATGCGCTCTAGACCCCGTGTGGAGCCGCAAACACCTTCGCGCAGCTCAAGCTCGGTCAAGTCCAAGGTACGAGTGCGTCGGAAACTATCTCAAAAGTCGCAGTCGCCGCCGGAAAAGCCGAACAGCCCGCAGAACCAGAGCGAGAAGGTGACGGCACCACCGTCAAAGGGCGGTCAAATAACAGTGGCCTGCGCTGCGAGACTTGCCGGTGGAGAGAGCAATTCTCACGAGACCCTAAAGTCGTCGACGTCGCGGCCTAGGACGCCTCAATCGACAGCAGATGGCGCAATAGTCTCACAGATCGAAACTGCCGATTCTAATTCACCTAGACCTTCAACCACGCGACCGAGGAGGAAGGTCCAAAGCCTGGCTACCCTTCCCACTTTGGGCCCGTTCGACAAGATCGGTGAAGGCGATTCACGACTTGTGATCGACTTCCTACCCGAGTCGCTACGTGCGTCTGCAGCCCCGGAGAAGACATTTGAAGAGGTCGTATTCCACAAGCTTTACAATGAAGTGCGGTGGCAGAAGATGCTACATAATCAGGGCGAAGTGCCTCGTCTGGTGGCCGTGCAAGGCGAATTGGGGGAGGATGGCTCGATGCCGGTCTACAGACATCCCTCGGACCAGTCCCTCCCCCTGTTGCATTTCTCCCCTGCGGTGTTACGCATACGAAAACAGGTTGAAGAGCTCGTCAAACACCCTGTCAACCACGTCTTGATCCAGCTTTACCGAGACGGGCAAGACTACATTTCAGAGCACTCTGACAAGACACTTGACATTGTACGGGGCTCCAGCATCGTCAACGTCAGCTTCGGCGCACAACGCACCATGCGCCTCCGCACCAAGCGGTCGGCGAAGTCTACTCAGCCTGACTATGAGGCCACGACCGTCAGACAGACACAACGTGTACCGATGCCGCACAACTCAGCCTTTGTTCTGGGCCCGCAAACGAACATGCGTTGGCTACACGGCATCAACGCCGATAAGCGCCCTCCGGAGGAGAAATCTGGTCTAGAGAAAGATTTCGCCGGCATGCGCATAAGCCTCACGTTCCGTCACATTGGCACTTTCCTCAGCAGTGATTCGAGCAAAATATGGGGCCAAGGCGCAACGTCCAAGAGCAGGGACCTCGCCAAGCCCGTCATCAACGGCGACGAGAAGAAGACCGAAGACCTCATTCGTGCCTTCGGGGCGGAGAACCATGCCACCGAGTTCAACTGGGAGGAGACGTACGGCCGCGGGTCCGACGTCCTCCACTCCCAGGACCCCCCTCCCGAGACACCGACCTTGTACACGTCGCACAGTTCCGTCGACAACCAGGCCGTCCGGCTCTACCTCGACGCGCTGGGGATCAAGTACAGTCTGGTCGAGCCGCCGCCCGTGCGGCACAGCGACGACTTCGAGCGCCGCAACATCTGCCTCCGCGACACCGACGCCTCGAACACGGAGGTCTGCGGCGCAACCCTCATCCTCGCATACCTCAAAAACCACAACGTCCACCAACCGCAGCAACCCACTCGCTCCGCTCCCTCTTCTTCCTCACCAACAGCCGAGCCAGACGACTCCTCCCCCCAACAACAACGCCGCCCATCAGAAGGCGACGGCGGCGGCGTCGTCGCGCCCACCCGCGCCGCCGCCGCCGCCGCGCAGACATATCTCCTACACGCCTCGCACCTGCATCGCCTGTGGGCAAAGTACCTCTGCGCCACCCACACCGCCGCCGTCCCGCAATCCTCATCCTCATCCTCATCCTCCTCTTCGCCGCCTCCATCTTCCGCCAACGTAACGACAACACCATCACCCCCCACCATCCCACCCGACCTCTCCCGCGCCCTAAGCATCGACCTCGCCGCCCTCGAAGACTCCTGCGCCTCGACGCGCCTCCGCCGCGGCCGCACGAACAGCGGTGGCGATGCCGCGGACAAGACGGCTGGGTTGTCGTCGTCCGTCTCCCCTTATCTGGCTGGCGACGCGTTTACGGTGGCGGATTGCGCGGTGTGGCCGCTCGTCGACGCGCTGAGGCGGAGCGGGTGGGAAGGGTGGAGCGACGAGCGGTGGCCGGAGTTGGGGGCTTATTGGGGGGCGTTGAGGGGGGCGGGGGGGGATGTGAGGGCTTTGGGGGGGGGGGAGGGGGAGGGGGGTCGCGGTGGTGATGACGGGAGCGAGGGGAGGGATAGAGGGGATGGGAGGGACGGTGGGGAGGGGCGGAGTGTCGATTTGTGTGGTGGAGGAGTCGATGACAGCAGGCGGAGATAGTAGGGGGGAATCAGTGAGGCTGGTGATGGGATGAGTTTTTTGTTTCTTTTTTTTTTTCGTTTTGTTTCGAGAGGCCTGTCTGAGCATGAGCTTTTCTCTCTCTCTCTTTTCTTTCCCGAATACTAGCGATGCATGGGTTCCGTCCCGTCCCCGTCCCTGTCTCCGTCCCTTTGGCGAAGTTTCCTCTGAGCAAACGACGGCTTGTGATGGAGTGTTGTCAGGCATCCTGTACCTCGTCGATGTCTGAGTTCGTTCTTCTTTCTTCTGGTTCTTCCGCTTTAGCCCTGTGTTCGTTCGTTCGTGTGTTCGTTTGTTACTTGGTTCTCTTTTTGCCTTTGATCCCTCTGTAGCTCTCCCACACGAACTATGGACGTGATGCCCTCTTCGTATTGGGGTAGTTCGAGCAAAAAATATTCTGACGGGGATGCAAGGGTTAATACAATAAAGATAATGTACGAATACATCAGACATGGTTCAACTGTGAGAACGCAATATCTCTATTCGGGAGGCGCTAGAGGGAGACTCGCTTCATGTATGTGTTGGGTACACGGACGAGAAGCCGAGGGCTCAGTCGATAGCAATCCCGGCCCACGTTGGGTATGTTGGAGCCAGGAATGTTCAAGAGTAGGAAATAAGGTATAAGAGACACGGATCAAAGAACAGATTTGCTTTATTAATCGTTAAGCGTGGCTATTGAACAATATTATCTATCAAGTGTTGGCATTCTTCGTCCTTGAATACAAGTACCGATGCTACTACCCCGGCGTCTTTTTTTCCTACCTATGTCGTTGGGGTGAAAATGGAATATGGTTGAAGGGGTATCATCTACAAGTCTTTCTTGCGCTTCTTTCCTGTTAACGCCGTATTACCCAAGTTTGTGTGTGCTCTCGCTGCCCGTGTTGCGTTCTCCACTTCCGACTTGCTCGTAGCCTCGTTTCACCAATCTCTTTCTCTCTCTGCATATTCCCGCACCCTCCTCGCCGATGCAGAAAGTCCATCTCAGTACCAACCACCCTTTCTCCCCCGGCCACACCAACCCAGCGCATCCCTCAATCCAAATCGACCACCCCACTCCCCCCTTCCTCATCCTCATCCCGCTGCTGATGCCGACCCCGCTGCGACGACGACACCCTCGCGCTCTTCTTCCTCCCCTTCTCCCCCGGCTGCTGCCTCTTCGGCGGCGTCTTCACCGGCTCCTCCGCCGCCGCCCGGCCAAAGCTCCAACTGCTAAAGCGATCACCCCACGTCCTACTCCCACCGTCCCGCATCCCCCTCGCACCGCCGCCGCCGATGGTGCTGCCTCCAGCCTCGCTGCCATTGAACGACGCGCCCGCGCCGCGGCCGCCGTTGTCTATCCACTCGACGTCCTCGCTGAACAGGAAGGAGGCGTCCAGCGCGTCGGCGGGTTCGTGCTCGGTGGGGGCGGCGCTGTTGGTTACGGAGGGGGGCGCTTCGATGAGGGCGCGGCGGGGGCGTTTGCGGGAGCGGGGGGCGGCGGGGGGAGGGTCGGTGGATTGTTCGGTGGTCCAGCGGGCGATGATGGCGTCGTCGGTGGGGGAGGACATGTTGTGGAAGGAGGCGTGGTGGTTGCAGCCGTCGCAGGTGAAGGAGGATGTGACCTGTGTGGGTGGGTTAGGTGGTGCTATTTGGGAGGGGTGGTTTTGCGTCATGGTGATGGTGGTGCTGGTGCTGGAAGGGCTGGGCTCGGCTGGGCCAAGAAGGGGGAAAGGGTTGGGGCTTTTTAAACGGAGATGGGGCGGGTTGTTGTTGGCGAGGCAGCGGTTGCGGAGGGAGGCCGTGAGAGGCGGGGAGGTCGTGCTAGGGTTGGGCGGGCAGAAGTTGGGTATGGTACGTACCTTTAGCGGGTGCAGCATGAAGCGCAGGCAGGGACATTTGGGAGACAGTAAGGACTCCTTGTGGTTGCATGACCCCCGCGGGGGCGTGTAGTTCATCTGCTTCCAGATGTTCTGCTGGGCGTTGGACGGCATGTTGGTTGGGTGGTGAGGGCCACGAGGCGGAGAAGACGCGCGGGTGGGCTTTGGTTCTGGTCGCGGTGGCTGGCGGCCGCCAAAGAGGCCGGGGCTCTATCGATACGCGCCAAAACCCCGGCCTTGGCGCCCTGCTCGCCGCAACCTATCGCGAACTTCGTGAGCTCGCCGCCGTCGCTCCTCCGAGCCTCACCCACTTCCACTCTCTTGCTCTCCACGCCCTGCGCTGCCGTCGTTGAGTCGCAACCATGCCGAAATATAAGTCCCCATCCCCCAATTTGCTGCGCATACCTACTGACTCTGCATCCACTCTTTTGTAGGTCGCCGCAAAACCTCCGCTTCGCGCCGCTAGCTATCCTCCGCTAACACGCGCCTCAACCATCCAGGCGATTACTGCGATGTGTACCTCACGCACGACTCGATGAGCGTGCGCAAGGCCCACAACAGCGGCCGTAACCATCTGCGCAACGTCGTCGAGTACTACCAGCAGATTGGCCACGAGAAGGCCCAGAGCGTCATCGACTCCATCACCTCCTCATACGCTGCCGAGGGTCAAGCAAACCCCATGCTGCAGCACGCCGCCCTAGGCGGTCTCGGTGGCTTCGGTCCTCCCCCGCCTTTCGGTTTTCCTGGTACGTCCCCGACCTGCTCGGCGTTATACTAGTGGGGAAGAGAGGGCAGCATGATGCTGATGCGACAGGATGACCACAGGCGGCATGCCTCCTCCTCCATTCGGCATGCCAGGCGCCCCCGGAGCACGTAAGTCTCACGAACACCGCCATCCCCGCGGCACCTGCCACGCAACATTTCTTCTAACCACACACACGCACGACACCACAGCCCCCGCCGGCCGCGGCATGCCCAACATGCCACCGAACTTCGCCATCCCGCCCCCCGGCGCCGCCGGCGCTCCCCCGCCAGGCGCTCCCGGCTCGCTCCCCTTCCCGCCGCCCTTCCCACCCGCCGGCGGCGTCGTGCCGCCCGGTGCGTCGGGCTCGCCGCCCGCCGGCCTGCCGTTCCCGCCGCCCGGCATGCCTCCGCCCGGCATGCCTCCGAACTTTGCGTTTCCGCCGCCCGCCGGCATGGCGCCTGCCTCAGGGGCCAGTCCCATCCCTCCGCCCGGCGCATTCCAGCCGCCTCCTGGCATGGGTCCGCCGCCTGGCACCGGTGGCCCGCCTGGCGCTTGAAGTCGAGAGGTCTGAAGAGGAGCTCGGGAAGCGATTGGTTGGATTGGTGGTGTTCTATGGCGTTTTTGTTCGAAATGGATGGGATGGGGGAGTGGGGTTCACATCAAAAGCGATAAGTCAAAGACATGAGCATCTCTCACGCTTGGCTAGGCCCAAGCCGAAAGTAGGTCATCGGGATTCTGCGTAATCAGAGTATGAGCATCAGCCCTACTGTCGACCTGACAGACGGGCATCTGAGGGTGTTGCGAAAAAGATGAGTTTCCGTGTTAAGTATACCATTCTCCTTGTGTGAACTGCGTTGGCAGCAGAGAAGCTTTACCGACGCTTTTCAGTGAGTTGCGGCCACACGCTGGGGTCTATCTACTAGCTTCTCATACCGATCAATCAAACTATTGAGCAAATCGACCTCACTATATCACGAAGTATCCCCATCAGTCAAGGCAAGGGAAGATGACATTATGTGAACATATAAAACACTTCCACCCATCGATCCACCCCTCCTCTCCGCACCGCCAGCATCAAGCAGCGGTGCGGTGGGGTGTTTAGTGTTCCGCCTCACTACGGCACCATGCCCCATGCCCCTCGTTCTTCGCTCCTACCACACGCGGCACGGCAGCAGAACAACAATCACGCATCGCACCGCCATCCAGTACCGTGCGCACGAAATGCCAACAATAATGCTCCCTCGCCCAGCCGCGGAAGCAGCGCGTCACGCAAACGGCGCCACCGGCGTCGTCGCCGCCGCCGCTGCGGCTGAGGATCGGTATGTAGGTCATCTTTCTCCTTTTACACTGCTTTCGTCGGGGTTTCGGTTTCGTTTCTTCCTTGCTTTGCGGGTTTCGGTTCGTGCGCTCGTATGGTGTGAGAGAAAGGCTTGTTGAGAGAGGTGGTTAGTAGTTGACTCGCAGGAGATGGGTGGTGAACTGAGGTTTTTATACTTGTTGGAGCATACAAAGGAGCGCTTGTCAGCTGCGAGGTGGGGGTTTTTCGTGCGAGGGGCGTGTGACTCCTCGTGCTTTGATGGGGGGAGGGGTGTCGTGGCGGGGCTACGTGGTTCGTGTCGAGGGCAGTGCAAACGGGGGTTTGGGCATGCGGGAGGGGCTTTTCTTTGAGGCGCACGGTGGGGTCGTGAGGTGGTGCTGTGGTGGATGAGGTGTGCGTCATATCTGGTGCGATTCGGGGGAGACTATGGTGTTTTGGGATCGGCTTCTGATGATTTTCTTCGGCGCTGCGCTGTCGTATCTGCTACGGGATTCTTTAGGGTGCTTGAATAGGGAGATCGAACCGGCTGGAGGAATGGAGGAGACGATGTTGCAGATGAACGGGTAACTCGGAGTGCCACATCTAGTGCACGCCGAAGCGGTGTTGCGCGAGGACACTTCAGCCAAATACGACATCAGTAACAGGTAGGCCTATAAATAATCAGTGTTCAGTCTCTATCTACGTCTCAAAGCAATATTTTGCGCTGGAGGAAATATTAAAGATACCATTTTCGATGGTATACGTCGGCTGTATGGCCTGTGGCTAGCGGTATTCGTACAACCCGCGAACAACATCAAACTCCTCCTAATCACCCCACTCAGCAAGTCTATCCTCCACACGTCTCCGGCTCTCTTACGCGCCATCGATCGGATCACGCGCGGAAACTCTCCTCCTGCCACCTGACCCACACGCTACGCATCTCGTGCACCCGCCCACCCAGCCCTCGCACCACCTACATAAAAACTTCCCTTTACTATCTCCGCTCTTCTAACCAATCTGGCGGGCAGCAGCATCCATCTAACAATATTCCGCAACGTACTGGCCTCCCCCTTCGCCTCTCGGTGGCCTGCCACTCAGCAGCCCAGATCGCCACATTGAACTTACACCACTTGATCTTCACCAAAAAAGCGAACATGCCGCAGACAGCAACTTCTGATTAAACAGTGCATATAATTCGCAACTCAAACAGTAAAATATATATGTTTTGCCAGAGCTTCAATCAAACGCATATATCGATACTCCCTAAACAAGGCTATAAAAAATTTTATGGGAAATTTTTCCTTGCCCTTCGTTTTTCCCGTAGATAAAAGAAAAAATAATAATAATAATATGGTTTTGGGCCACGTTCTGTTGTTTACTCCGTGTGAGGGTATCTGGATCCTGAAAGAAAAGAACAGAGAAAGCAAAAGGCTATAGCTAGAACCATATAGGGAAAAGGAAATTGTTTGTAGTAAACGGGTTGGGAAAAACAGGTTCGCTATAGGACAACCCCCAAAGAGATCTTTCTTAGCGGGCATGAAGAAAACATAGATAAGAAAAAACATGGAGATGCTTGTACAGCGTAGCAACGTGCGCCAAGCAACACGAGAGAGAGAGAGAGAGAGAGAGAGAGAAATCGAGAAAAAAAAAAGGCGAAACGAGGATCCGGACCAGTTACATAAGGAAACAGTAAAAGAAAATTGGCGATGGCCAAACCCTCGGTTCCAGGAGGGGGGAACCATTAACATCATCTCTAGCTTTTCCTTCCATCGCTCAACAAACCACACAGTGGAACTCATTTCTTCTTCTCTTCTCCGATCACAACGTTCGCTCTAGACGCCCTCACCTCATCATCATCTCTTCCAAAACCTCGAAATGCCTCTGCTCTTCTCCTTCTGGCCGGGCTCGATGGGGTTGCCATCCTTTCCGAACTTCACAAACGGAAGCGGCTTCTCGTCCATGGCGGGCGGAGGACCCGAGTTCTTGAGGAAGTCCGCCATCTCGCTCAATCCGCCGCGCTCCTCGCTCTCTCCCATGCGCGCGCCCCTCGCGCCCGTCTGACGCAGCGTGTTGCTGCGCTTGGCCATGCCGCTGCCGAAACTGCCGTTCGACGCGGAGGTGCCGAGTCGAGAATTGCCGCCGGAGACGTCGGCGGTGTGGTGGGACGCGGGGATGCCGACGCCCCCGCCAGGGTTGCTGGAGGTGTTGCCGTGCGACGAAGCGGCGCGGACGCCGTTTGCGGATGCCGCGGTGGCGGAGCCGCCGCCCTTGATGGCCTTGAGGGTGGATTCGGACAGGACGAAGGGCTGCACGGGAGCCTCGGCCGCTGCTCTGGTGGGCGGCTCGCTCGCGAAAAAGTCTGCCAGTTCCGACGTCGCCGTCTTGGCCTTTTGCTGGGGAGCAGAAGATTCCGGGGCCGTGCTGTTCTCGCTCGCGAGGCCGCTTGGTGGTGTGGACACGGGTCCACCGGTGCTGCCCGGCAGCGCGGTGAGCTCGTCGTCAACCTCGTCAAAGTCGTCGCCAAACTGCTCCTCAAACTCTTCCTCGAGCTCATCGTCGTCCGGGATGGCGTAAGGATCGAACCTCTTCTTCGGTCGGTTTTTGGTAACCGCTGGCCCGTCGGGGAAGCCGCCACTCAAGAACGAAGGGTCATTGTCGTAAGCGGGCTGACCCATGTTTTGCTTCGATAGCAATGCGCTGCGGGAGTTGGATGTGGTCTGGGAATGAACGGAAGGTGCGACGCCACTGTTCGAGTAGAGCTCCATCTGTTCCGAATCCATCGTGTCACGGAATGGGGCCACAGTACGGGGAATGCGGTGGTCAGAACCAGGCGGGCCTTGGCGTATCAAATCAATGAGGTCGTTGTCGACGTGCACAGGACCAGCCGGACTACGGGCCTCCAGCTTCCTTCGGGTTGCGAGGGAAAGAGACGAGCCTTCGCTAAAGGAGTTTTTGCCGGATCGAGAGCTAGTGCGAGAGCGAGAGTTGGTCTTGGACAAGAGTGCCCTGGCGCCCGTGGGAGTGGTGGTGGCAGGGCTGTTGTCTGCGCTACGCGAGAAGGAAGTGTCGAGGGGGACTACGTTCTTGTCGTTGCTGGAAGGAGTGGTTGAGATGAGGAAGTCGCGCAAGTCGAAGGTCGGGTCGGTCTGCACTCTCGGCTCTCGGGGCATATACTTATTGCGCGTGTAGATGTTTCCAACTTGATTAATAGGGGTCGGCCGTGAAGCCTTCGCCTCCTTCGCAGAATCGTCGGAAATTGTGCTCTTCCCTTGCTTGCTGCTGACAGATCCCCGCGAAGAGGAGTTGGAGCGCTGCAACTGTTGGCTCGAGCCCGATCCGCTGTGGGGCCCACGTGGGAACACTGAAACCTGAGCGGCAGCTGCAGATCTCGCGTGCGTAGCCTGGTCGCGGGCCTCAGCCTCGGCTCTGGCTTTCCTCTCGCGCTCCTTACTCACCTCGCGCATCCTTTCAGGAGTGAGCGTATAGTAAACAGTGTCGGCTTGCGCAATAGCTGCGTCAAAGTCTCGCGCACGGTCGTCTTCCGATTTCCTCGAATTACCGGCCGGCCGCCGGGTGGCCCCGGCAGTGGGAATGCTGGACTCAGAGCCGCGTGACGTATGAAGAATCGACGTCCCGGCAGACGAGATCGAAGACACGCGCTGCAGGCCCGCGCGCTCCACGCCAAACTCGGCCGCCGTGGCTCTGCCTCTGAGACTGTCGTGGGATCGTCGCGAGGTGGAGCTGTCCCGAGTCTGCGTGGAGAGTGCCGAAATCGACGGTGGTCCCTGAGGCACCGTCTGCGACGCTTGAGTAGAGACAGTCTGCGAGCGAAGCGCTCTGCTGACACGGTTGTTGGCGCCGCTGTCCGTGTCTCTGGTCCATTCCATAGAAGGTGTCTGCTTCAACTTGGATTCCTCGTTCACGGGCCCCGATGGGAAGGGCTCTTTTGACGCGTCCTTGGGCACTGGCTCCCTGGTGGGCAGCGCTTCGGTGGAAGGACTGACATGATTCTTTGCGGGCGGGGGGAACACGGACAGGCGATTAGCGGGCCGCTTCTCTCTGGGGACTGCGTCATCGATCCCCGCAGGAAGGGGCGACGGAGGCCCAGACTTGGCAACGTCCGTCGTCATCGCTAGCCCAGGAACGTCACTCGATGTTGTTGGCTTAACAGACTTGTCCTCTCTGCTTCCCTTAGCTGCCGAATTCGCCTTGAACGGCTTCGGCTTGATTTCGACTTTGTTCTCGACGCGCTGCTTATTGGCACGGTTCGAATCTGGACTCGATTAGCACAGGAAAAAAGACGATCACATCGCGGCTGGCATGAACACACCCGTTGGCTTTGCATTGGCAAGTATGTCCCTTCCAAGCTGCAGCGGCTTTGGAGAACGATCCCTCAATATACTCCGGCGGTTAAGTGGAGGCGCAGATGGCGGCGACGCAGCTCCAGGAAGGGATCCGGTCTCTGCGATGATCGACGACACTTCCTCGCGGTCCCTTTCATCGAACGATTCTTTCACCTCGGCAGTCTGATCCTTCTCCGTGGAGTTTTGCGTCTGATTCGCTTCGGCGATTTGCTCGCCTTCAGCGATATAATCCTCACGCTGATTGAAGGATTCTGCGGGCGTCTGGAAAGGCGGTGTACCACCAAGCGTTTCTTCACTGGTCACCGACGCGTGCCGTTCGGCCAACTGCTTGAGCGTAGGCATCGAGCTGGAACGCGAACGAATCAGGTGACGGCCTGACCCTGGAGCAGCGAGCCAACTCATCGGGCGCTGCTTCTTATTCTTTCGTGGTGGAGTCGCGCTCTCGTCCACCTCCTCGTAAGTCTCAGCGAGACCGGGGACTTCGATTTCGTCGACGTCGTTCTTCCCCATAGGAAGAGGAATGTTCGACGCAATGTCGCGTTCGGAGTACTCCACTTCAGGCACTTCCGCAAGCGCAGCCGCACTGGGAGCATCGTGTGCGTTTCCAGTGCTGTACCTACGTTGGCCGTTGAAAGAAAAGGAGCTGCTGAAGAGCGACGAGCGCCCAGTTGCAGTGATGGGCGTAGTCGGTGCACGGTTGGTCTTCTTCCATGTCCGCCACAGGCGGCCGAGTGCCGAGTTCAGTGCAACCTTCTCCATGTCGAAGTCATGGACGATGGTGCGCTCCAGTTCTTCCAGCTCAGTCTCGTTGGTCACTGATGTTTGGGTGGCCCTCCTCCGCTTGGTGCGCACACGTTTGAACGCAGCTTGGCCAGCCACAATGAGGGTCTGCTCAGCAATGTATTCGATGACAGAGGTGAGGAAGATGGCTGCGGCCCAGGAGACCAGGCCGGCGTCCCTGGCTTCCTCATCCTCCGCGTACACTTCATCTTCTTCGAGGAAACGCTCCTCATCCTCGTCTTCCAGCTCGCCTAGCCGGGTGTAGACCATTATACGCAAACGCGTGCGCTTGAACACAGCTTCCAGGTTCCACTTCACATCGTTACCACTTGGGAGCTCCTCCTCGTCATCGTCGCCCGCCAGAAGACCAGAGAGCTCTTCATCTGCGGCCTTCATGGCCTCGCGTGCCAGTCTCGGCTTCAGGACTTCCTGCACGGCCGGCCTAATCGTTGTCAGGGAGCGCGAGCGGCCAGTGGCCAGGACTGAGAAGAGGAGCGAGTCGAGGAAGCCATTGAGCAGGCCAAGGGCTACCTCGGAGCACAGCGCGCTCTCGGCGGGCACATTGTCGGCCTCCTCGGGGGTCAATTGGTCGAGCAGGGTGGCATTCTGGTGGTCTGTGACGATCTGCGACGCGGCAGAGACGGCGACGTAGGCGGGCGGTGGCTGGAAGGCAGCAGACGGGACGTAAACGGCAGCGATTGTGCTTGTGGAACCGGCGGTCGACTGGCGATCGCTGCTGATGCTCGGCGCGCGACTCGAGCGCGGCGAGTTCAGAGCGCCGTCGTCCTGCTGTCTGGGCAGGCGATGCATTCCGCGGGTGGTGGAGGAATGCGGCGCACTCTCGTCTGGGCGGATTGGAGTATTTCGCTTTCGGAGGCGGCGCAAGACAGCAGTGGGCGGCTCAAATGCCGACAGGGCTGGGGGTGTCGGCTCTCACTGGTGGCGGTCGCACAGGTGCCTGTGAGATCTCTCTTTGCGAACAGGCGAACAGGGGCCGAGCGAGGGCGGAACGAGCGTGACGAAGCGAGCGACGAGGGCGGAGAATTTGTGCGGTCGGCTAGGCTCGCATGGCTCTGGGAAGGGGGCGCGCCGCAGCTCTAAACTGGCAGCGTGCAGGCTGCTGCTCGTGTCGCTTCAGGCGCAGGAGAAGCGGACTTGGGGGGGACAAGGTCGGGCCTCTGCTCAAGGACTCAGGGCTGGCTCAGGGCTCGAGGGGGATGCTGCCGGCCGCTCCCCGCGTCGATCGGTATCCCGGACGGCACAAGCAGGCGGTCCGAGCGGCGCGGTGGGTCGTCGCAGGCCGTCGCAATCAGGGCAAGGCGCAGGGACAAGAATGCAGCACGCGCGCCGGAACAAGGCGCGCAACAGGCGGGTAGGTACCAGAAGCTATCAGGCACACGGTAGGCGACGGCGATGGCAGACAGCGGTGCGGCGATGCGCGATGCGGCGATGCAACGACACCGCGAGCTCTGCGATACCTCCTGAGCGTGCGGCGGGCAGCCTGGGCCAGAAGTAGCGGCGGCAGCTAGGCGTAGTAACTTCACCTAGCTCGGGTCATTATCACAGCTCATACCATGGGCGCGGCGGACGGACAGCCGGCGCAGGCCCTGAGTGCGGCACAGCAGCAGGCCCCATCAACCCGCGACACGGGCACGACTGCTGAAACCGCAGCTGCATGGCATATCGTGCCCAACCGACCAGCGCCCCCGCCTGGCCCGCTTGCCGACACAAAGACGACGACCACGATGGCCCAGAAGGCGGCTGGCTGGCGCACACAAGCGGAACCGAGGGCGCAGCCGGGCTAACGAATGGCGTCGCGCAAGGTCCAGCGCCCGTTTGCATCTCATTCGCGCGCGAACGCTGGGCCCACGGCCCTCCCTCCAGCGAGCGCCCGGATCGACGGTTCGGGAGATCTGCCACCTGCGCAGGCGAATGAAACTGCTGGTGTCCGCCTCTGTGCTGCGCGCAACGACGCCCGCCTGCGTCAGGGAACAGCCTGCCGACCGTCGTGCTGACCACCACCGACCGCGAGAAGCGCCTCTTTCTTCAACACCCGGCCGCCACCCACGTCGCGCCTGCTGCTGGCCACGCCATCCGCCTCCAGCGCAAAAAAGCGATCGACAGCGTTCGCCAAGAAGCTGCCGAGGAGCACGCTCCGCGCCCCTCGAGCGAGTCAGTCATTAGGCCCGTCTCTGTGCTTCCCACGTGGCGGGACGGCTGTCAAGGCCAGCCTGCCGGAGATTCCTTCGCGCTTTCGCGGCCTGTTTTTGCTTTTTTTTCCTGACCCTGCAAGATGGCGACCCCCAAGTGAAGCAAGCCACAGGCGTCAAGCCTACCAGCTTCCTCCCCACGTGGTTTCCCGCGCGGCGCCAGAATCCTGTGTGATAGACACACGAGCCGCGCGTGAGCCGCGCCGAGAAAGCCACTATCGGCCTTAGCGGGACGACCGACGACTGTCTTTGCTGCCAGCTCGCAGCTCGCACTCTCTCCCGGTCGAATTAATGGACCGATTCGCCCCTCTCTCGTCCCGGTGTTGTGGTGAAAAGAAAGGGACGACGAGAACCGACACTCTTGGTCCGACTGCCCGCCTGGCTGAGGGGAAAAAAAAAAAACACGTCTGCGGCGGCGCTCTCTGCTGCCCGCGTGCCTCGGGATGCATGAACTGAAACACGCACGCTTTGCCTGCTGTATATTATTACGGGCGGGCGTGGAGACACATGGGACGCACAAGCACAAGTCAACGGCTGGCGAAGTTGACCAACACGAACGCCTTCCCCATCCGCCCCAGGCGCCCCCGCTTTCAGAGCCCATCCTTTCTCCAAATGCGTCTCCGCTCCGTGGGTAAAGCCGTCGTCGTCGGTTATGAAGGAACGAGCTTTGCTTTTCTTGGCCGAAAGGATTGCTCATCACCGCGTGCTACGACTGGTACTACTAGCTGATCGGTGCCGCTCGAGAGCTGTCGTTCTGTCGCTCGTAGGTATGTATGTACCGGTAGTTGCTGGCGGTAGCGATTACGACCATGTTTGGCCACACCATGGCGACGAGCTACCACGTCATGTCGCGTTTCGCGGTATCAGCCGTGGACATCGTTCTGTGCTCCTCGGCTAGTGCCTCGCTCGGCGGTGAGCGGGAAAAAAAATGCGGCATGGGAGAGGTGCACATTCCCACAGATGACGACTGAACGGCAACAGCCGAACCCAAAATCGAAATTCCGGCGCTTCATTGGGCCGTCGTCGAAAGCATTGTCAGGGCGAGAATGTCATGCAATGCGGAGTACCTAGTGTAACAGGGTATGTATGGGGCCCCCCCTGTTCCCTAAATCTCCGTCGTGCGTGCTTGGTGGGGGCGAGAATGTTCGCCGGAGATGGTCGAGCGAGGGGGAAGAGGAAGAAAAAAAAAAAAGGCTTGGTCGCACTTCGCGCGCGGTAGCATCAGCATCGTCGAGATTGCCTTCCGACCCGGTGTCGGGATAAAATAGATGATTGAAGAGTAGCGGCCTGCTCATACGCACCAGCCTCCCGAAGAGATCTGCACCGTCATCCGAACCCGGTTGGCTTTGGTTCTTCTTACTGGTGAACTGCGCCGGAATGATGTTGGATCTCTCTCACTCTCTCTTTTCCTCTCCCGGCTTCCTGGATTGGCTACACCGCATCAAATGCCACACGACAGGCACCGTCCGCAATGCTACCCAGTGCGACGTAGAGAGGCACCGAAAAGAATTACAGAAAAAAATATCAAAGCGCGTTGATGTGTCGAAGAACGGCCGCGCCTCGAGCACGCAACACCAACGCTGCCGTCCGACGTCAACCAGCAGTCGCCATTGGTCAGGGAGTACAGCCTTCCCCTTGCTCCCAGCTTCCGGGCCTCTCGTGCCATTTTTCGGCAGCCGGCTGGGTTGCACGCGCGCGAGATCGGAGAATCCCGGTTGTGCTGCCGGCCCTGTTCCATCTTCTAACGTCCGCGAGGATCGTATTGTCGCCGGTGGAGTAGTAGCGCACTATCGGAAGGAGGAATGCGTGGTTGGTTCGTGCTGGTGGCTTTGTTTCTAGTTTGCACCTGTCGTCTTTGCCAATGCCGGCGTCTATCTTTGCTGGTGGATTCAGCACTTGTTCGTGAACTCCGCCAGTTGAGCTCCATCTTTCGCGTAAGGGACTCCGGAGCTGTGGTGCAGGCTGTAGTAAGGCATCATGAGAGAAATTGTATGGGTGGACCATCGCCTTCTTTCTCGCCGGGGTAAACAATTTAACGAGGGAATTTCTAGAAACGGCGGTTTGTAGAGATGTGTAGCCCGAAGCATATAATGACGGCCCCTTCTTTGTTGTTTCTTATTGATGCCACTGGCTCTTCTTTTGCACGTCGGTGCTAGCCCTTTTCACTCGATTCTCCCACTTTCTTTTCTCCCTAAACCATACAAAGATATTTTGGCCTCATACGAAAGTGAAAAACGCAGCAAGTCGATTCATAAGGAATAGCAGACAAGCGCAGAATATATACGAAGTTGCTGTCGTCTGGATTAATGCGAGCGAACAACCTCCATTAAGTAACCGTTGCATAGGACTAGGCATGCCTATTTGAACATTCGTTAGTAAGTAAGAAGTCCTCTTGCAAGAAGTGTTTCGCAAAGTATACTGCTGCGGTAAAGACCTGAATAGGCGAAATTGAGAGATCAATACTTGATAGCCTAGTCTAGAAGCTATAGCGCATTGCCGGTTTTTATTTCAACTAACATTACTTTCTGTGTTCTTAATCAAGTCTAATTCCTCCATGATTCTCGTTAATCAAAGCTCTTTGATTTTGATTTGACACTCTACTAAGGGAGTATGGTATCTCACTACTTTAAAAAAATTTCAAACGTCATCTTATGTAATTACTCGTATTTATCATCATATTATTTTCTCTCAACACCACGATCATGATCTACTTTACTTCGTCGAAGGTGACGGAGTGTTTGGCAATGCCTCCGGTTTAAGCCTTACGCCCAACCTTTTTTCCCATGAGTTTCCCGAAAACCCAGTGGTGGTGGGATCGGATTCCCTGTCGTTACCGCTCAAAGCGTTGAGATATGCGATTGCGGAGTCCGGTGGTTGAAGAGTCGCCTAACGTTATTATGCCCGGTAGGTCTCGGCTCGATACTTATAGCCGGAGTCCCACGTGAAGACGCGATGGGTATGCGCGTGCCTTCATGCTACGATCGATCCCTGCTATTGTCTCTCTGAGGTGGCGAGGGATTCGAGTGTCGGAGGCCTTGTGGTGGCGGCAGCTCTTGGGAGTGGTTTATGAAATTTGTGTGACTTTCATAGTACGCTGTTTAAAAAAGTTGAGGAAGGCGCTGCTTTCAATTTTGAAGTTTACCAGAAGAGAATGAGCGACAGACTTTATTGAAAGATAGCACAAGTGAGCTCAGATCTTATAACACGGAAGTAATTCCCTGAGCGTTGCCTTCTTCACAAACCGCATCAACACGACTATATTCAAGATCATGAATCCATTCAGGGAAATGAAAAGCTCTGTAAAGTTCACTTATATCATTGTACAATTGAGGCATTCCAGATGCCCTCAACGCTATGCATCCGAAAAAAGAAAGAAAGAAAAAAGAACGCAAACCGCTATGCTCCATACAACTCACCCTCCAACACCAAAATCCCCTACAATGAAAAAAAAAGATACGCAAAGAAGTACAACACACAATCCACACACAAACCGATCTATTCCAACCTCGATCCTTCCTCTCCCCCCTCCCCCCATCACCTTCCCACCTCCACCCCCCGCCCACCAGCCTCCCTCCTCTCCCTCACCCTCCTCAACTCCTCCCACCCCCCCTCACTCACCCCCGCAAATGGCCGCCAACCGTTTCCCCCACCACCACCGCCGCCGCCGCCGATCCCCTCCCCCCCATACGAATACGCCGACATGGCCGAATACGCCGACGACGACCCCGTCGACCACGTCGCCGTCGAATCGACCGAGCCCCTCCGCTCACAAAGGCCCGACGCCTCCGCCGCCGCCGCCGAGTCGTCGTCCTCCCCGGCATCCCGCCCTCCCGCCCGCCGCACGCATTCCGCACACTCGCCCGCTTCGTCGGCGGCGCCGAGGTGGAAGGGGTAGTCGCAGGGGATGGTGACGGATACGGCTGTGGTGGTGGCGGAAGAAGAAGAGACGGCGGAGGCGGTGGTGGTGATATTGGTGGATGTGGATGCAGTGATTCGTGACGCCGAGCGCTCGACGACGACGATGGGGACGCGGTGCGCGCGCACGCACGGCTCGCCGACGAGGCGGGGGCGTGGCGCCCAGTGCGCGCAGGCGTGGTGGAAGACGGGTTGGAGTTGGCACATGGTGGCGGGCCTGGGTGGGGTGGGATGGCGGGTGGGGGGGTTCGAGGCGGCGCTGCGGCGCGGCGGCGCGGCGGCGCGGCGGCGCGCTGGTTGGTGGGTGGGAGGAGGTGGTGGGTTTGCTTGGGGTGGAGGAGGGGGGGCTGTGAGTGGTGGTGGTGGTCGTGTTGGTGGTGGTATGGTGGTGAGGGTTGAGGGGTGGTTTTGGTGGTTGACTTTTCGGACGAAATGACATGCGTGTGGACGAGCGAATGTCACTTGCTGTGCGGACTCTCTGTTCTTTCTGATCTCTCTTGGCTTGGCTTTATGGGAGGCGCTGCTGTTTCAAGAGGAGGTGTCCTTGAACTATGCAGTGCGTGAGATCGAGAGGGAAGTGAACAGAGAGCCAGATGGAGTTGAGGAAGAGTGAAACAGCGTAAAAGCATTGCGAATTGTTGGAACATGATTGGTTTTGAGTCTTGTGGAGAGGACGCGTGAGGCATTGTACAGCGCGTGTAGGGGACGTTGTTCGGCTGGCCTAACGGTGTTAAGACTCGAGCAGTTGAAGCAATCGTGCACGGTACCATGAAACGGTCGGTGGGCTGTGAACAAACAATGCTTTTGTCAAGGTATCTGACACGTGTGGTCTCTTTATCTTCGTCATATGAGCTCTGTATTTGATATGGGAAACTACACCGTCAGTGAACAATGCGTGGAAAGTGCACAGACTGTAAGTAAAGAACATAGTAGTACTTCTCGGAAGCGGGAGGAGGGCCGATGCAAGCAGACAAATGCTGTAGGTCATAGCAAGCTACAAGGTTTAGGATTTGTAGTGCAAACATGTTATCATAAGTAGGAAGCCCGAGAAGATGCTACACGGTTCGACAATTGTCATTTTCCTGGCGGTTTGCAGTTGATCGGGTCTGAAATCTCTCTATCAAGCTCAGCGAATACATCGATTACGAGATGCTGTAATTCGAAATACTTCAAGGTGAAGGCAAAGAGAAAACAAAGAAAAAGACGTAACTTTTGGTTCATTCTGTTGAGCACCGTTGAATATGCCTTTTACCAAAGTTTCAACATAATAATAGCATTGTCACTTGCGCAACAGATGCACGTGAAGAGATGGGAGGTAGTTTCTGGGCCAGACACTTCGAAACACAAGCGTGGTTGGTCTTACTCACCCGCCTCGACGGGCATGAGAGACACAACTCGAGGAGCCAGTGCTAATTTGACGGTCGAGCCATGACTGATAGACAGTTGATGCGCTGGAAAGGGTCTAAGGGTGCAGCCCAGACCACAAAGATCGAATCCAATACAAGGTGGATCGTCGCCGTTGCCCAGAGCTGAGGTCCATATAAGCTCGTGCTTACCACAATAGGACCAATAAGCGAGTCAACAGGCGCAGAGGGGAGGCAATTCTCTAGTGGCCGCGCCAGGCCAAAAGAGCGGGAACAGATCTGGGCCCAAGGGGTCCCGAGCCATATACGGAAGAAGGCGGGTAACGACTCCAGTCCCCACCCGGGGCTCCGAGTCCGGATGGCTCCACCCGGGGTCGGTGCGCTCCAGGGCTGACTGGCTCGAGGTGGGCGTTTCGGAGTGACAGAGAAGGCCAGGGTCAGTGAGACAACCGCACTGTCTGATCCCGTCTGAAACGGCGCCACAGAGCCCGTTGACATGAACGAAGATGTCTCAACGCCCGCCGTTCCCGTTCGCTGGGTGTGCGCCATGACACCGCAGCGGACGGGCGTCCACAAATAAGGGTCAGAAAGCTTATCAGTCGGCGGGACATATCAGCACTGTCCCTGTTCCAGACCACAGCTCGAAGAAGACTAGACCCTGGATGCTATCGACCTCGACGATGGACCCGCACCAAGCCCGGGGCGGACCGACCGGGAGGGGCGGCTTCTCAGAGACGCCTTCTGATCTGATCTGCACTTGGTCACAGTCGGACAGAGGCCTCGAGGATGGGATTCCCGGCAAGGAGACGAGCGGATTGCCAATTGGATTGGATGCTGAGGGCAGGAGCTGGCTTGGGATTCTCCCCTATCTGGCAGCCAGCGGTGTTTTTTCTAGAATCTCCGATCGAGCACGACGCGGGCCGTGCAACGGACGGGGGCCAAGAAGTATTTTTGTGTTGTGGGCAGAGGTCAGTCCCGCCTCCACGGCGGGCAGGCAGGCGACGACGCGCCGGGAGCCGCAGAGCGGGAAGGGCGACATCGCGCAATCTGCTCCACAGCGTTAGCGAGGCGGGAAGCGGAGCATGGCGATTGCCCAGAGCGTGGAGGCTGGTGTGCCTTTCCTAATCCGCTGCCAATCCGGAGTGCAGATGGAGCGGGAGCGGGAGTTTGCGGGAGGCCTGTGGCTGGAGCGCGTGCGGAGGGGCGGCCACTCCGGGCGGTTTTCGTGCCCGTGCCCCCGCCCAGCAGGCTTCCAGAAGCAGCGCGTGGAAGCCGGCAAGGCAGGCATGCGTGCTCCGTAACAGCAGTGGAAAAGGCCGCTGGCCCTGGTGCCGCGTCCGCAGCCATGCGGCGTCGCCTCGGGAAAAAGGAGGGCTGGCCTCGGCCGGTCAAGCGTTAAAGGACTGGCTTGCACGTAAGCGGGCTATTCTTAGGCCTATTCGCAGCGCGCGGCCCCTATTCTCTCGAGCAAAGGGCGGCGATGTGTAACAACAACGCCAGTCACACGACGCTGTGGCGACCGGAGCGCTCTGGCGTCTGAGGCGGCGGACCTTGCGCCGTGGTTGAGCACGAGAATAGAGCAACTCATTCGAATCCGGCAAGCACAACGCCCGACGCGCGCACAGAAGTGTGGATTCGGGAGACAGTGAATCAGCGCCGATCATCCCGAACCGCGTTTAGCCGGCCGGCCAGCGGTTTTCTTTGTCATCGCCGCCCCCGGAGCCAATGGGCGGCCGCGATAAGGCCAGAGACCCTTGGTCTTGGCCGCCAGCCCAGCCACCCGCCGGTGCGTGTTGGAGCGTGTTGGGGTGCAAGCTTGCCGAAGTCGCTGCGCCGATGAGGCAGCGGGGGGCTCGTGCTGCTGCTGCGGCAACCCTCGCCGGTTGACGTCGGGCACCTGGAGTGCTGGAGTGCTGCGCGCAATGCCGATGGTGGCGCAGGCCCGAGGGAGCTCGTCGTCGCTAAGCCGCGCAGGCTGGCAGACTCACTCATCCCCGGCGAGCGCGGGCGACGGTCGCCAGCAGCAGCGCGTGCGGGTGCGCGAGCAGAGAAGAAAAAAGTGCGCGTCGCGCACGCCCACCGAGCATCCCGGACGCTTGGCTGTGACGAGCCAATCTTCTGCGGGGTATGTCGCAAACGCTGTAAAAAGCCGCATCGTCACCCGCCGCGCGCGATGGGGACCATGGGGGCCACTCATCGGACCCGATGTCCGTCTTCTGCTTCACGATCCCGCTCGCGGCTGCGGCCGTTGCGGGCGCGGCACAGAGGATGGCCTACCGACGGGCTGCTGTTCTGGGCAGGACCGCCTATCTGCCGGATCGCACGACGCGCCGCGAGATGGGCTCCTGAGATGGCCTTTGGCGAAGCCGCAGCACGGCCGCCGATAAGTCGCCCGCCTTGGTGCAGCTGCAGGTCCCCAGCGCGCCCAGCCCGCAAATCCACAGCGGCGGAATCCTCGCGCGACACGGCCGCAAACGAGCCATCCTTGCAGCGCCGCCGGCCTGGCGGTCAGTGGCCGTCCCAACGCCCATCCGGGGATGCTGAGCTCCTCAGCGTCACCCAGCCAGTAGTCATGGCGGCGGGGGCCCTCGCCGTCGGCAGTGGGCAGCCGGACGGCGGGTAGAGATAGCGGAGGGCGCGCACGCGATATCGTTGTCAAAGACAAAATAGTGATTGGCTAGCCGCGTGCCTGGCCGGGCGGTGGCTCGAGAGTGGACTGGATCGGTGTCAAGGCCTGGGCATGGATTATGCTGCGTGGAGCCCTTGGGATGCGCGCGCCGTGGGCACTGCCCGTGTGGGCGCGACGCGGCGTCAGGGCAGGAAACCCTGACGCCGCTCGCTCAGCCTTTAAAACATCCGGGTCGCCGCTCTCACCACGATCACAACCTCAACCTTTTTCCCTCAATCCCCTCCACTCCGTGTAGACAGGCCCCACGCCGTCGCGCTCCCACAGCTCCATACCGCTCTCCTGCCGCTTGCCCTCCGCGCCAGCTCCTCACACATCAGTCACCATGGTACGTCCCGCATGTCCCGCCTTTGTCCAAAAGCCGTCTGATTCTAACCAAGCCCGCAGTCGGAATCAACAATTGTCTCCAACACCGCCAACGTAAGCCGCAGCTGCTGTTCGCGCGCTGAAGTTGCGCACCCGCTAACTCCCAGCACAGCTTGAGAAGTACCTCAAGTTGCCCCAGAAGGGCTCCGTCATTGCCGAGTACGTCTGGATTGACGGCTCCAACGGCCTCCGCTCCAAGTGCAGGGTGAGTCACAATCCGATTCTGCCCCATCCCGCTTCCGCAGACGCGCCGCGCACAAACGCCTGTGGTGCGACGCCTGCGCTGCCCGCTGGTGTTGTCCCGCCCTTATCGCTGCTGTGCTGCACGATAAGAAGGCGGCGCCACTCTCCCGCCCACCCGCGCCTCGTTGGAGTCGCAAGGATCGCGTGGGATCGTGCGCCCACACCCCACTCGTCTCGATCCTGTCGCCCACGCCGCATTCCGGGAATTCGTGCTGATCATCCACCCGCCCGCAGACTCTCAAGTCGAAGCCTTCCAAGGTCGACGAGCTTCCCGAATGGAACTTCGACGGCTCTTCGACGGGCCAGGCCCCCGGCGACAACTCTGATGTCTACCTCCGCCCCGTCGCTTTCTACCCCGATCCCTTCCGTCTTGGCGACAACATCCTCGTCATGTGCGAGACCTGGGGTGCCGACGGCAAGCCTAACCCCTACAACTACCGCCACGATGCTGCCGTCGTGATGGAGGCGCACAAGTCGCAAAACTTCTGGTTCGGTCTCGAGCAGGAGTACACCCTCCTCGATCAGGCCGGCTGGCCCTATGGCTGGCCCAAGGGCGGTTACCCCGGCCCCCAGGGCCCCTACTACTGTGGTGTCGGTACCGGCAAAGTCTTCTGCCGCGACATCGTCGAGGCTCACTACAAGGCCTGCTTGTATGCCGAGATCAACATCTCCGGCACGAACGCCGAGGTCATGCCGGCTCAGTGGGAGTACCAGGTTGGTCCCTGCGTGGGCATCTCCAGTACGTAACAAATCTCCGAAGACTCCCCCCTACCGTCACTAACCGTCTACTAGTGGGCGACGAGCTCTGGATGTCTAGGTTCATCCTCCACCGCGTGGCCGAGGAGTTCGGCGCTGTGGTCACCTTCGCACCCAAGCCCATCCCCGGTGACTGGAATGGCGCCGGTCTTCACACCAACGTTTCCACCGACGATATCCGTGGCGAGGGTGGCATGAAGCACATCGAGGCCGCCATGGAGAAGCTTGCCCTTAGGCAAAAGGAGCACATGGCCGTCTACGGTGAGGGCAACCAGGCCCGCATGACCGGCAAGCACGAGACCGCGTCGTATGACAAGTTCTCCTGGGGCGTCGCCAACCGTGGCTCGTCGGTCCGTGTCCCTCGTTCCGTTGCCGCCGAGGGCAAGGGATACTTCGAGGACCGCCGTCCCGCCTCCAACGCCGACCCGTACCAGGTGACTGGTATCATGGTCGAGACCCTCTGCGGCAAGGTCGACGGTGCCGACGTTGCCGGCAAGGCGCAAGAGACCGCCGAGATGGAGGCCAAGGCGGAAGTGTAATTGCTACACGCCGCTTGACAATGCGTTCTTTGCGTACGGAGTTTGTAGACGGATAACGTTTGGGTTTGCACTTTCTATTTTGGCTACTGGAGAGTAGGAGAGGGACAGTTGGTCTGGTCTCAATCCGGACATGTGGAAGAGGAAAAACACACCCTAGATGCTGTGGCCATATCCCCACAGCCTTCATTGGACTACCCCAAGGAACATTACCACCTCGTAATGCTTGCTTATATGCTTGCACACCAGTTTCAACAGACGATTCCCCCATTATGCAGTAAAACTCGTAGATCTCGGGATTGCGAGAATGAAGATTTTCTATTACCCGTTCAAATATCTCTCGCGTGCCTTTTTTTTTTCCCTCGGTATAGTATTGCTTGGGGTTTGTGTGACATCACGAGAGCGATCATCTGTTGGGGTTGGTGTGCGCGACATTGTGTCGTGCGCGTACCTCTGGCAACACTTGCATCGATTTGCCAATCGGAATTTGCGAGTCCCACCATCGAAAAGGCGGGGATCGTCGAGGGGGAGAGACGGGAGCCTGACCACGGGTGTCCTTACGTCAGAGAGGCAGCGGCACCACCCGAACCGGGACAAGTTCCCCCTCCCCGCCCCCCCCTCCTTCATGCACTCACCCCACGCCGTTTATGTGCCTTAGCGAACACAACAATGCGGGATGATCATCAGTAGTAGCGATCAGCACCAAGACGCCGCCACAGCCACGACAAAGGACGTCACTCTCTGCACGTCAACCGGTTCCGGGGCGCTATGTACTGTACTGTACAAGCATTATACCCTACCTACTTGACGGATGGCATTCCGGTCCCACCCACCTGCTTGGTCGTCGGCTCTCTCTCTCTCTTCCCGCCCGCCAGCCGCCTAGGTAGGTACCTACCTACTAGTCCATCTTTGTCGCACGTCATCCATCACACCCAACCACCCAACCACCCACTCCCGGCTAAGCGGGACGGCCGGCCGGGGCGGGCGTGCGGGGGTACTAGTAGGTATGTACCATCTGTGGGTGTATGTACATACATACACGATAGGTGCAGACGCTTGCTAGATTTGGGTTGGACTGGTCGTTTCCTTGATTTATTGATGATTGATCTGACTGGGGGGGTGGGCTCGGTTCGGTTCGGTCGGTCGGTCGGGTCCTTTTGGTCTGGGGGATGTGATGCGGGGGTGGGTGGATAAGACGAAGGAAAAAAAAGGGAGAGGCGGGGGAGGGACAGGGAACTGGACTGGGGATGTAGGTGGGTATGGTTTTCTCCGTGGTGTCTGTCGTTCGCAGTTTGGTTTCTTTTTTTTTTTTGCGCGGATGGGGTGTGTGGGTGTTTGTTTGTTTCCTTGGTTCTTTTCTTATTACTTGTTTTTTTTTCTTTGCGTGTGCGGATGCCGGTTTGGTGGGCCTTTCTCGTTGTTATTACTGTTGTTGCTGGGTCGATTCGTGACTGCGGAGTATCCGCTAGGCTAGTAGTGTATTGGGTTGGTGTGTATCACTGATAGTGATGATTTGAGTGTGGATAAGTTGCGTTCCATTTTGCTATTTGTTCCCTACGGCTGATGTGAGGAAGCGGGAGGAACAGGGAAAAGGTGCGCAAGAGAACGGTCTGGATTGGACTCTTTTGGCGTATACCTTGTTTGCGAGGTCTTGTTATCTTCTATTCCTTCTTGTTCATTCGTTACCTCTATTCTTGTATCTCGGTCTTCCTTCTCCCTTTAGTTTTTCGGTGCTTGTTTTTCGCGCTTATGGGCCGCCGTTATTCTTTTGTGCACTTGATTTGCTGTCGTTTTGACCATTATTATGGGCTATAGAAACTTCCAACCCTCCTGCATTGGCGTCGGAAGTCATCGTACAGACATGGTGGGTTGCGAGTGTGCGTAAGCGTCCAGATAGGACTAATATATCCATAAGTGGTGTGAAATATCTCCGGGCTGAAATCTTGAGTAGCACACTGTGCTGTCTTCCTTTGTCTAAAACCTCATACGGATGATAAGATTCGTTTCTTGTGACTGATGAGTATCTCCGAAAATGCAGGGGATTTCTACCACACCCAAAGATGACGAGGAGGAACAGAAAAAGAAACGAGTTCACTGTGCGTTGCTGCAGAGTGAGACGATTGGATGCGGCTCGTAAGCCGGCTATCTCCGGCGGGGTGTGCTGCGTGTGGTTTAGATTGCAAAAGCCCTCGTTTAGTGAGGCGTAACCAGGGTTCGTGATGATAGATAACGGGAGGCACATGTGTTGCGGCGCGGCACATGGCCAGACTCAAGCGGGGCGCAAAGATAACAGATTTTTTTTTCTTTTTCGATGAGAGATTCCAAGAGGTAATTGATACATTCATCTATGCAATACTAATGTGCAAACTCGGAAACGTAAAAGTTTTGGCATGTAGCGCGTGGGTGAAGCCCTCGCATTCAACCCTGGCGCCCAGTAATTCTCGCCGAGCGGTGCCTTCTGCGCCGCTGATGAAAAGAGCCCTGCTCTTGTATCGCTGTTCTAGCGTTTGATGGTCTTCGTTCATCCGTGCCGTGGTAAATAATCGCATACTGGATTCGCACCAGGGTTGTGGGTGTGAACTTGATCTCCTTTGTGATCTATGTGCAAAGTGTTCATCTGCCAGTTCCTGGACAATGCGTCGGCGAACGCATGCCGGAGATGACTGGAAGGGAGTAGAAAACTCTCGAGATGGACATCTGTAAGAAGAAAAGTGATACGCTCGGGATGTGCGAATGTTGGATCAACAGCCCGAGGCTGTTACGTGGGCTGTAGCTGTAGCCCGGTCTTCAACCAGCACTGTTCTCAGGACTGCCGTGCAGTCTTATTGAGCTGGAGGGCTCGTTCGTGACCTGACCTGCCCAAGGCGGCAGATGTCCATCCTCAATGCGTAAAGTGCACGGTGCGGGGTCCAAGCGTGGGAGTTTTGGTTCGGAGATAACGTGCGTTGACGTGGTTAAAGTACCATAGCGCGCGTCATCGAGCAACGACGACAGCCGTTTCGCCGCGTGATGCGCCCACAATCTCGAAACGCCCTTGATTGTTGTCTTTGTCGCGAGGGTGTGTGTTCAGCGGTGGGTTCCGCCTTGGTTGATCTGACCATCGTTCCTGAGCAGATTGCCTGTCGAGCTGTTACCATCGCCGCCGGCGCCCGGTGGTCCCGTCAACGTGTCTTGGTAGTCCGGCGGCTTGTTTCCTTGCGAGTCGCGCGACAGCGTGCGCATCGGGATCGTCAAGCCCGCCTCGCTCTGCCAGCCCGCCGCGGGCGGTGGCGGCATTGGCGGCATCGCCACTACGGGCGCACCAGCAGGCGCATAGTGTCCGCCGGGGGGAGCAGTGTAGGCCGACTGCGGCGGCCCGCCCGGCGGCTGGTGGTACGGCGGAGGTGCCTCGCCACGCTCGTTGAGCCCTTCTTCCGGTGTGCGTGGCGGCCCTCCTCCGCCCATCATCCAGCGACCGTTCCAGCGGGAGTTGTTTTGCGCGCCGTTGATGTCCTGTGCCAGCGCGGATTGGCCGCCGTTGCGCATCATGGCCTTTCTGCGCTTCTTGCGGCGATGGAGGAGGAGGAGCGCGACGATGAGCAGGATGACGGCGATGGCGATGAAGAGGAAGTAGAGGTTGAGCATGCCGTTGCTGCTCAGCGATGAATCCGAGGTGTCGTTGCTGGGGTCGTCATCGCCGGCGCCGCTGCCGGGGCTGGGATTTGTGCCCTGCGCGTGAGCGGCGGGTGCGAAGAGGAGCCAGAGGAAGAGGGGCGAGGTGGTCGAGGTCGACAGCTGGGACAGCGGACTGCTGCTGCTGCTGTAACGGCAGCAGCTCGGCGGGCGGAGGGTGTTGGCATTCATGCTGTCATGGTAGCCGCGGTGGCGCGAGTGGTGTAGTATTGCCGAGAAGCTTCAATTGCGTGGAGAAGAATGCGTCGACGTCGAGGTGTGGAAATGGGTGGTTAATGGAGAGAAAGCGGCTGGGCGGCTGCGGTGATAAAGGTGAGACAAGGCGACCCAGAATAATAGAGGGCGGATCGCTGCGGAAGGCAAGGAAAGGTCCTGGGGTGCCTGCAGGTCTGGTGCCGAAGGAGGATGTGGCTCGCGGCGCGCTGGTCGTTAGCCTGCTCACATCAGAGCTCGCATTTGTCGCGGGTTCCAGCGTGGAATGGGCGCATGCGCGCATGTTATTTGAGATTCCGCGAGCCTGTGACGCGGCTTTTGCGTTTGGATTTGGATCGTCGGCGTGCAGGTTTTTGTTGGCTGGGATGTGGAGAGATTGCGCCGGGCAGCACTCGCTCACCGCGCGTCGTCCTTTGACGCAATTGCTGTGGCTGAAGTCGCACAAGCATGGCGCGGCGGCCTTCTGTCAGATGGGTGGTTAAGCTTACCGTCAGCCTTGCCCTCCGGCGCTGGTACCTGCGCGCATCGGCTTCCACACTTTGCTCACGTCGCCTGTTCCACCATTACCAGGCCTCGACCCGTGCGCCTGTTGCAAAGACTGCCAGCCGACTGGACAAAGCCGTCGCGTGAGACGTCGCCTGCCCTTGTCAGCCTGCCCTGCGCCCGCGCCAACCCTCCGCCTGCAGCTGCCGTCAGGTACCCACACTTTGCTCCTCTCGCTCCGCATCGTCTCCGATCTTGCCCCTACGGGACAGCCTACAGCCATCCAGCCTCCCTGACCGGCTGCAGCAATCCTCACCGTCGTTGACTTTAGCCTGTTTCCCGGCCGGTCGCTCTGCCCACGATGCCTAGAGCTCTGAGAGGTGAGCAAGATGCCCCTGCGTCGTGGATGGCATTTCCCCGCGATGCGTCAACCTCTGTATGGCGTGGTGCTCATGTGGAGGCTTTGAAGGCATCCTCGTCCAGTGCGATGAGTCGATCAAAACCATCATCGTCAAGATCGATTCCGAGCTGAACGACTTCATCATCGAAGATCTCGACGATGAGACGCTCGTCATCAAGGCCGAGAAGCTCCGCGAACTGAAGCGCAGGCTGAATGATGTACGTGTGTTGGCGTTGACGACGTGGCTTTTGTTGCTGACAAGCCACAGGTGTTGAAAGACGCTGTTGGAATGCCCCCCGAAGCTGCGAACATCGACTAAGGAGCTGTGCAGCATATCTGAGCGGACGAGAAAGGCAGACGGCTGGATTAGACAGCACTTCACTGCACGTGTCCAGCATCTATTGGGAAATTTGAGGGATAGGAGGCTCAAACGAAGGAATCGTCATTGGTTCAGATCTAACCGCCATGCAACACCCAACACCCACCAGCATCAAGCTTGTTCTTCCACTCTGCGCCACGAAAGCAAATCCAAGACTAGTTGCCTGATCTAGGTCTGCTGAGCGCCGGCCGTTTCGGGCACCCAATTCACACGGTGCTTAGTGTACAGCTCAAGAGCCGGCTTGGCCTTGTTGAGCGCGTCATAGTCGTCGAGGACACCCGCCTTGACAATCTTGGAGCCCGCGAACAGCCCGGTCTCGCGATACAGGGTTGTCCCGCAATCGCCGCAGAAGTGGCTGGTGATGGTGTTTCCGCTGTCACCTGTTTTGCTGATGGTTTTGGTAGTGCCTTGGGTGACTTTGAACCCGTCTTCGGACACAATGAGGTTGGTGCTGTAGGTGCTCCCGCTGATCTTGCGGCAATCGAGGCAGTGACAGGTAGCCTGGATAGGTGTGTGAGCAGCCATCTTCTGCCGGGCGGGATTATGGATCATTCGCAACCAACCTGGTTAGCCGGCTCGCCCGAGTACGAGATTTTGATGTTCCCGCAGAAGCAGCTGCCGGTAGTCATGATTCCGAATCGATATGGGGCTGTGGCGAAGAGCTGCGGTGCTAGGACGGTATTTGAGATTGCGTGCCGAAGCGGGGGTCAGCAGTTTCCGTTCTTTATAGATGGACAGCCCCGCTTATTTGGAAGCGCAACTGCAGTTAGCTGGGCTCGTGCCACGGCAAGCCGCCCATGACTCTTCGCAGTCGGCTCTGTTGCCTAGCAGGTTCTTGATTACATATCATGCAACCGGCGTCTTTGGCATGGTGCTTGTCCACGGTGATCTCGGACGTGGTTGGAGATGACCGAGGCCCAGCACCAGCGAAATGCGGGGAACAACGTTGGATACGGAACGCCATGGCTGGAACGTACAGGACCGGCGCAATTGACCGCGAACAAGCCGTTGCTGACGCTTCTGAATGATCGAGACTCGCATTCATACGCAACGACTATGCAGAGTATGGGTTGGTGCCTTTCCATTTATGGTAGTTCAATTTTCGGAAAAGCAACCAATCAAGACTTGCAGTCCGTACGGCTGACATCTTGAACGCCATTGGATGTCTAGCTAACAACATGAGCATTTGACAGCCGTATGCGCAGCGCACAGATGAGGCGGTGGCTTCAGAAGAATTGATCCTTCTAGCATCAGCCTTAGTAGAGATCCATCACCCCGCTTATGTAAGAAAGCAAAGTCTACGCTTCGATGCCCTGATACAGCTGTGGAATGCGTTGCTAGATCAAGACATTTACACAGAGGAGAGGCCTTGATCTTCGCTATAGGAAATGATGAGGAATGGGACTGTCGGATGAACCTGCTGGAATTGCGACTAGATTGCGGGGATCAGGTGGTTTTTTTCCGTAGCATGTGCAACGCGCTCATCAAGCTGCAGGTGACGCTGGACGCGTCGCGCGCGGCAGCAACAGGTACCTACGCGATAGCAGAGCCTGCACTGGCATCCAGAAAGTGCAGCAGAGCCCGGGACTTTCTAGAAGTGCGCCAGCTCCGCCCAGATTTCAACCCTACCCGAACGAGCCTCGCGGGACGGGCTGTGATTGGCTCCGCTAGCGAAACTCGCGTCCAAGCGTCAGCACACACGCTCGACAACTTCAGATCATTTATCGCGGAGCTCGACACCACCTGCAGCGAACCTCGACAATCCCACCACCAACAGACACCATGGCCGAACAACTTGTGCTGCGGGGCACCCTTGAGGGCCACAACGGCTGGGTCACTTCGCTGGCCACCTCCCTCGAGAAGTGAGTCTGGAGCGGCTGCGCCAGCGCGCCAAAATGCGCAGAGGAGGATGAAAGGCTAATTCGCTGCTGCACAGCCCGAACATGCTCCTGTCGGGTTCCCGCGACAAGTCCCTCATCATCTGGAACCTTACCCGCGATGAGCAGGCCTACGGCTACCCCAAGCGCAGCCTGACTGGTCACTCCCACATCGTCTCGGACTGCGTACGTGCCCAGCGCGCCCCGCGAACACCACAAAACACCGACGAAAATTGGCGCTAACTCGTGCTGCTGCAGGTCATCTCCTCCGACGGCGCCTACGCTCTTTCCTCGTCCTGGGACAAGACCCTCCGCCTGTGGGAGCTCTCCACCGGTGTGACCACCCGCCGCTTCGTCGGCCACACCAACGACGTTCTCTCCGTCTCCTTCTCCGCCGACAACCGTCAGATCGTCTCCGGCTCGCGCGACAGGACCATCAAGCTCTGGAACACCCTCGGTGACTGCAAGTACACCATCACCGACAAGGGCCACACCGAGTGGGTCTCCTGCGTCAGGTTCTCCCCCAACCCCCAGAACCCCGTCATCGTCTCCGCTGGCTGGGACAAGTTCGTCAAGGTGGGTACAATTCTTCCGGCACTCTCCATTCTCGGGCTTTCGAATGATGCTACGCATTTTCAAAAGTATTTGCTACTTCAGAGCCTCACGGCGATGAGACAAACATTCACCATTGCACTGATCCAACACCCCTTTCTCCGCTTTTTCCAGCTCAGAAAAAAACTAGCCAAATGTGCGCAGGAGCTGACAAAAGCACTTAGGTTTGGGAGCTCGCCTCTTGCCGCATCCAGACCGACCACATCGGCCACACCGGTTACATCAACACCGTCACCATCTCCCCCGATGGCTCTCTCTGCGCCTCCGGTGGCAAGGACGGTACCACCATGCTCTGGGACCTGAACGAGTCCAAGCACCTGTACTCTCTCACCGCCGGTGACGAGATCCACGCCCTCGTCTTCTCTCCCAACCGCTACTGGCTGTGCGCTGCCACTGCCAGCAGCATCATCATCTTTGACCTCGAGAAGAAGAGCAAGGTTGATGAGCTCAAGCCCGAGTACGTCGAGGTTGGCAAGAAGAGCAGGGAGCCCGAGTGTATCTCCCTTGCCTGGTCTGCGGACGGCCAGACTCTGTTCGCTGGTTACACCGACAACAAGGTCCGTACAATGATGCCGCGTGCGATGGAGTCTCTCGCTAATCCTTCATTTTTAGATCCGTGCTTGGGGCGTTATGAGCAGGGCTTAAGTTTGGTGATTTCTGTTGGTGGGTGCGAAGGAACATGCTCTTTATGGCATGATGGATACGATAAGGGCGACCGTGAGGTAACGGGCTTTTTTACCTCACACATTTCATGGGCATTGTACTTCCACGGCGCTCTGAGAGAAATCCAAAAAATTTCAATGCATGGGATTGTAATCATCAAGCATTCCACAGACACATACTTGACCTCTCGATGATATGGTGACGATCTGGCGAATTTGCTTGCCATACGAGGTAACTTCTGAACGCCATATTGGTGCCGAATATTGGTCTGACAGGGACAAGAAACACAGTTGAGTTACGGCAATGCATAGCTGTTCTTATGCTCCAATTTAACTTATTCGCAATGGGTTCCGTTGCAACGTTTAGTAAGTCCACATTTTCAATTCCTCATATCAATTACAATAACTAGAGCATCTGGCTAGGGTCATGGTAATCGTCTCCAGAAGGACCAATCACAACTTTGCGAACTTCGGCTTTGTTTTCTTCAAGCCCGACATCAACGCATCCTTGATATCGTCCGTTTGGAGCATGGCGCCATTCCAGACAGCGGTATATCGAAGACCTAAATATCCTTGTCAGCTTCAACCTTTTGACTTAAAAGCTATGCACAACCGCTCCGGACTTCCCGACAGTACCAAAAAAAGAGACATCGAATCCTATCACGTATCTCTCGAAAAGAGAGAACAAGCGGCCGGTCAAAAACCAAAAAAAAAAGCAATAAACGGGGGCAACGAAGAAAAAAGAAAAACACCAAAACAAACTCACCCTCCTCGACGGTATGATCGCGACTGTAATTCAACAACTCCTTGGTCCCCACCACGGCGACGGGGCTCTTACTCGCGATCAGCGCCGCCTTCTCCAGCCCGGCCGCCACCGCCTCCTCCTTGCCGCCGCGGTACACGCCGCTCACGAAGCCCTCGCGCAGCGCCTCGTCGGCGCCGAAGACGCGGGCCGTCAGCGCCACGTCCTTTGCCCACGACGCGTTGCCCACGGCCTTGGGCAGGCGCGTCAGCGTGCCGATGTCGGCCGCGATGCCGATGTCGACCTCCTTGACGGCGAAGGCGGCGTCGGCGGCGCACAGGCGCACGTCGCACGCGAGGGAGAGGTCGATGGCGAGCCCGTAGCAGATGCCGTGCAGGACGGCGATGGTGGGTTTCGGGCACGTCTCGAGCGTCGACACGCACGCTTGGAAGGTCGTGATGTGGTGGATGTTGTGGAGGGCTTTGCGCGCGGCGTCGAGCGGGGCTTGGGACGTGGCGAGCACGCCCGAGGTGGAGGCCGCTTGTACGTCGAGCGGGGCTTGGGACGTGGCGAGCACGCCCGAGGTGGAGGCCGCTTGTACGTCGAGGCCGGCGGTGAAGGCGCGCGGGCCGGCGCCTGTGAGGAGGATGCAGCGGACGTTGGGGGAGGTGGAGAGCCGCGTTATGATTGTGGAGAGGTTGAGCCACATTCTGGGAGGGGCGGGGGAGGTGGTTAGGTTGTGAGGGCTTTTTCTTTTTTCTTGGGGGAGTCTTTTGACAGCGCGGTTCTGGGGGTTTGGACGGATGGTGTGGAGTGGAGTTGGTGTGGTGAGAGGGATTTCATTTTTCTTATCCTTGACGGCTGGGGTGCAGATGGATTGTTGTAGAGGAAAGCTGAGGTATTGAGAGACTATGAAAGTTCAGAAGGGGAAGCTTGATAGAATACGTACTGCTCGACGAAGGCATTCAGCTTCTCGGGGCGGTTGATCTCTACGTGGGCAACATATTCCCTGGGGAATGTGACGTTGAAGTATTCATACTTGTACTCTTCGGCAGACATGTTTGCGTGTGAAACTAGACAGATTCGGTCCCGACACAAAAACAGACAAGAACAGGCGGGAAGTTGGTGTAAGACGAAGGAAGCTGTTGTAAGAGTCGAGAGGAGACGAACAGCCGGGCTTGGCTGCTCACATGCCTCGGCAACTGGCAAGCCACACCGCCCGCAAAGGTACCCAGCCACGTTTGCCGTCTTGTCAAACACCAGCCACAGACCCGGACCCGCCACAGCTACTGCCGCGTTGCCATCGTCGAGCTTCTCCCCGCAGCCCTGCTGTCGCGTGTTTGCGACCGACGCCTCTCGCTCTCCAAATCCCTCGAGCAATTGAAACACTCCTTTGTCGTCCTTACCGAAGCTTCAGCTGTGCAATTGTTTTCAAGCACCGTCCGTACCGACCGTTTCATTCGCTTCCTGGCAGCCTATCCGCGACACGAGCTCAGTACATGACGTGAACCCTGACTTCACCAGCGCGCCTTCACCTCTGCCAAAGCTCTTCCGCAGCTGAGCACGCCTGAGCCACCACGAAACCGTCATGTCGACCCCAACGAACCACCCAGCGCGACACCAGCCGCAAGCATCCAACGCCGCCGGGACACCGTCGCAACAACACCTCGGTACTTTCTCGTCGCCCGCCCCTCGCAGCGTCCCCTCGCCCGCCGCCCAGCGCAGTACCCAGCAAGCCGGCAAGTCGCCCTTCAACACCACATCCGGAGCATCCAGCTCGGCCATGGCGGCGTCGGCGGGCCAGAACCACTCCAAAACGCTGCTCGGCAGCTCACCGGCGGCCGGGGGCGGCGGCAGCGGCAGCGGCAGCGGCACCATCGGCTTCGACTCACCGGGCGCGCTCAACCTGGGGCTCAACGCGCTGGCGGGGCTGGAGGGCGGGGTGGGCATGGGCATCAGCATGAGCGGCATGAGCGGGCTGGGGCTGGGCATGGGGCTGACGTCGTCGATGGGCGGCCGGCCGGACGACACGGAGCAGCGCAAGCGGCTGGAGGGCATCATCGCGACGCTGGGGGCGCGCCCCGGCCGCGTCAGCCGCGAGGGCATGGAGCGGCTGGCCAAGCAGCTGGGATTGTCGAGCGAGGTCATGTCCGACTCGCACGGCGAGCAGCAGCTGTTGCTCGCGCACACCAGCTTCATGCTGGACATTGCCTTTCGCGACAACGTCGTCGATGGCGTGACGCTGCAGTTTGGCGACTTGTCCGAGAGCGTGCAGAAGCATTCGGCGTCGGCGGCGAAGGTGTTCAAGGCGGACCTGGTGCCGAGTCCGGGCGAGGCGAGCATCAATCTCTCGCTTGACCGGTTCGCGAAGAATCTGGAGAAGCTGGCGAGGCTGGACCATTTGAGCATCTTCAAGGAAGCGAAGCCCGAGGTCAGCTGCTTCGAGGCCGTCACGGGTGTGTACAACAGCTTGCAGAAGCTGTTCGAACATGAGAGGAAGGCTGCCATGCATTTGTTCGATGTCTCAAAGCCACATGCTCATCAGAAAGCAGCGAGGGAGGTTCTCTGCAAGAAGAGCGGAAGGCCAAGGATGAACGCCAATTCGGCAGTGGGATTGTCGTTGGAATACTGGATGGAGAGGAGGCTGGTCTTTCAGAGACTGGAGAAGAAGGAGACGGGAGGCGAAGATACAAGCATGGATGTTGACGACGAAAGCGAGCAGTATGATGAGAGTGCGAATAAGATATTCTCACTGACGATCGAATGCGAGTCCTCCCCAGCACAGCTCTATCCGTCAATACGAGTCAGCGACGCCTGGATATCAGACGTGGTAGAAAAGCCTTCAGATCCCAATGATCTTTTCGGTTCACCAACAATCGACTGGTTGGATCCTCCCCCGACGTACGCCGGTGGATCAGAAGTCGCACAAAATGACCCTATGGCACTTGATGGCAATAGCATTGGCAAGCTTCCGAATGTGCGCTTCGTCGCCAAGCTGAATCCTCCTCTGGTGGTTCCTCTAAACACGGCGCAAAACATCCTCGCTTCTGTCAACGTCCAAATGAATCAAGAGTCACTGAAGTGGGCAACTTCTCTGGAAGCACTGGTGTTGAAGCCAGATGACGAGCCAACAGCGGGAATGCCTACGGACATTGCGAAAGAGTACCACAATGTTCGAAACGTCTTTGTGGTAGACAAGAATGGCAAGGAAGAGGACAGACGGCACGAGGCAACCCTTTACGTGCACAAGACCGAGGTCGCCTGCATTTTGGATGAGATACCTTTCGACCACCCCCGGCAACTCATCCAAGTACTTCCGGTAAGCGACATCTCCATCGACCCCCCTTTGAAGATAGAAGAAACTAAAACCTCGCGCAGGTCCTCCGCCAATACGCCCACCTCAGCACCCTCATCCAATCCGCCCTCCAACCACCCCCACCGCCCAAACAACTCACCCAGACCAGCACCACCATCCCCACCCCCCCTCCCGAAAACCCCTCCGCCCTCCCATCCATCCTCCCCATGAGCATCTCCCTCACCGGCATCGACCAATCCGGCACCTCGTCCCCCATCCTCGCCGTCGCCTACCCCCGCCCCTCATCCGGCAACGGCAACGGCAACGGCCACCACCCCTCATCCAGCAAGCCCATCGAAACCCTCGAAGACCTCCTCGACGGCCTCTCCTTCGCGCAGCCGCCGCCCACAGACGCCAACGTCGCCGCCACCTTCCCGGACGAAATTGACACGGCCATGAGCGGCACGGACGCGGACCTCTTCGGCGACGGCAGCAGCAACTCGGATAAGAAAGCGTCGTCGTCGTCATCGCCGTTCGATGCGTCGATGCCGCCGCCGCCGCCGCCACCGACGGTGACGCTTGCGGCGAGCGTGCTGCCGAATGCGGATGTGGCGATTGTGGCGCAGGATTTGTTGCCGGAGTTGTTGGGGCAGGTTGGTGGTGGCGGCGATAAGATGAAGGGAGGGGAGGGCGGAGAGAGGGCGGAGAAGGGGGGAGAGGAGGAGGCGAGGAAGAGGGAGCAGGAGGATGAGGCGGGGCGGATGAGGGTGTTGGGGAGGATGGGGAGGGCGCTGGAGTTGTGTGGGGATTTGGGGGTTTGGGTGGAGTGGGTGAGGGATCGGATGGGTGGGGATGGTGGTGGTGGTTCTGGGGAGGGGGGGAGGTGAGGGAGGGAGGTGAGGGAGGATGGAATGGGTTGGGTTCGTGAGGGGTTTATGCGTGAGGGGAGGGGAAGAGGGGGGAGGAAAAAGTGTGTAAATGTGGTAGCATGGTATTCGAGAGAAGACGGTCCGTTGGTAGATTCGTAAGGTATATACTTATGGGAGGTTTTTTAAGTTTTTCTTCTTTTCTTCGTGAGGACAATCTGTCTGAACATACTTCGTTATATCCCAATTCAATCCCACGCCGCCCTCCCACAATCTATCCCAAACCGCCTCCTCCTCATCCCTTCTCCCTCCCCCTCCTCGTCTTCCTCCCAAAACCCCATACTAAACCCCTCCCCCTCCCCCTCCCCCTCCCCCTCCTTTCCTACCACCCCTCTCTCCTTCCCCCAAGCCCTCACCATCCTCGACCCCGCAACCAACCCCCCCACCGCCCCGACGCTGCACGGACTCCCCTCCCCAACCCCAGCCGCCGGCACCACCCGCCGCGCGTCCCGCATCAGCGCAAACGACGCGAGCAGGCACGCGGCGATGGCGCCCAGCAACGCCTCGAGGACGCGCGTGGACACTGCGGACTGCTTGAGGCGGAGGAGGCGGTCGGGGTTGGTCAGGGTGGCGTTGAGGGTTGTTGTTGTTGTCGATGTTGATGAAAGGTCTACGTCGGAGACGGGGACGCGGAACTCGAGGTTGATGACTTGGGCGAAGGCGAGGCGGAAGATGTGTTGGAGGGAGGCGGCGAGGGCGGCGAAGGAGGCTGGGTCGAAGAGGGTGGTGGGGGTGAGGGTGGTGGGGGAGGTGGAGGTGGAGAGGATGGCTTGGAAGACGGGGTCGAGGTCGAGGTTGGGGTCGGGGTCGGGGTCGGGGTCGGCGAGGGGGGTGGTGGAGGTGGTGGTGGTGGTGCTGCTGTTGCTCGTGTATCCAGCGCCGGGCAGGATGGCCGAGAGGTCGAAGTTGCTCCAGTCCCACTCGGACGTGGCGTATGGGGTGGGGGTGGTGGTGGCGTCGTCGTCGTCGTCCTCGAGCGCGGTGGCGGAGATGATGTCGTACGACGGGAGCTGCAGCGTGAGGTTGACCCGGACCTGCTCGATTGTGGGCGTGCAGTAGAAGCCCTGCGCGGTGCTGTTGTCGGTTGCGGAGGGGCCGTAGACGCCGCGGATGTAGCCGCACGAGCCGATGACTGACGACGTCCAGCCGAAGGGCCGCGAGTAGTTGCCTTCGATTTGGGAGTTGAGGTCCAGGCAGTCGCTGTTGGTGGCGGAGAGGGTGGGGGTTGACGCTTGCGTGTTGGCGAAGAGGTCGTCGTTGTAGACGTAGACTTGGCCGGGTGGGAGGTAGGTGCAATTGAGGGAGGCGCGGGGGGCGGCGACGGTGAGGGCGACGGTGGAGCCGTTGAAGTAGGGGTAGGAGGAATTGAGTGGTTGGCCGGTCTGCTGGATGGTGTCGAGATGTAGTTGGGGGACGGCGAGCTCGCCGTGCGTCCAGGCGGGGTAGGAAAGGTTGCTTTGGAGGAGGAGGCCGATGACGAAGGAGCTTTGCGCGGTGATTGTGGCGGAGGTGAGGTTGAAGGCGTCGTCGAACTTGGCTGTGACGGGTATCGAATACTTGGTTGTTTCGGGCGAAAACAAGCCGGAGGCTACGATGGTCAGAAGCGGTGTCAGGAGCATGGAAAGACCGGTTGCCAATAGAGCGAACTGTTTGGTGGGGATTGCCTTGATGACGGTCTGGACGGTGAGCTGTGACAGAGGGTCGCTGAAGAGTGCTTTGGCTGGAACAGGACCTTTGCGGCGAAGCTCATAAAAAGGGGCATAGATCTTCGACACGTCTCCAATCATGCCGACAAGAATCTGAGCGATAAACATGCTCAGGGCGGGAATGTAGGACCACGTGTAGCGGACGTAGCTCTCGGTCTCTACGTTTGCGAGCCCGTCGTGCTTGACCGAGGCCTGATAGGTAGACTCCAAAGCCGCCACTAGAAGAAGCAAGTACAGCGTGACTCCGGTCTTGGTGATGCGTGACATGGCCAGAGGCTTCCACCAGCGAATCTTGCCTTCCCCCGACTCCTCGGCAGAGGCTTGGACAGGTGTGGCCGAATCCTGAGGAACCATGACAACTCGGAATTCAAGCTTTCCCTCAGACGCTTGCATAGTGCTTAAGGCTCGGTAATTAGAGAGACGCTCGTACAGAGAAGAAAGCCCCGTTCTTCCACATGGGGACAGAGCCTCGCAGAAAGACGGGCTTTCGGCCATTATTGCGGTCAAGCCGCCAATCGATCCAGGATCCCGGCTGACGTCGTTGCGCGGCGCCAAGAAGTAGAGAGCAGCGGCCATGATGATCAGAGAGGCGAGGATGGCCTCCATGAGATAATAGGACAAGCCTCGAATGCGGAGGCGCTGCTGATCCGCGGCGACGTCTCCGGATGCCTCCCTGTCCGAGGGAACCATCAGGTAGTCTTTCGCCATCTGTGCGGCGACAGTGCTATAGAATCTCTCGGCCTCTTGCTGCAGAAGTCGGATGTCCAGCAAGTCTGTTATGTTGCTGGGGTTAAAGGCCAGCAGACAATACATGAACTTGTCCAGCATTGGGCGAGCTGTTGAGCCGCTGGATCCGATGTCCTGGATTTCGTTCGCCGGCCCGCTTGCCGCACTGCTCGCGTTGCTGACTGATTGTAGTATGTCTTCCACGAGAGTCCATTGCGGTATCGGAAGTTGATCCGCTGCCCTGGCAGTCGATGCATTCCGAGATGCAGCGGAGACAAGCGAGCCAGCCTCGTCCATGGTTATGTGTTGAGCGTCGATAGCATAACTTGGCTGACAGACGAGGATGGGTGCAGGCTCCATGGAAAGCTGCGAATTCGAAGCGCCTGAAAACCCGCCGGTGTAATTCCTCCCGATTCCGTACCGGATCATAGCTATCACAAGGCGGTGGTCCGAAGGCGAATCGGTACAGTTGGCCTCAACGGCAGCTCCGTATATTCCTGACTGCGAGGCGCCAGAAATAGTCCCCGTTTCGAGGTTTTCGATCCGGCACGACGAAGTGGTGAGGTTGACTTTGGGCTTGGCGCTTTTGCAGTCACCGTAGAAGTTTGAACCACCGAAGCAATCGTCGCTCCAGTAAGGGCTGTCGACTACTTCGCAGCCGAGTTCGGCATGAAAAATGTCAACGGTCGAGGAGATACTGAGGTTCTGACCGCCTGCCATCACTTTTAATCAGCGCGGCTCTTGATAGTACGTCTGAGCTATTCGTAATACCTGATATCCCATGCTTAAGGCTCAATTCCGGAAAGGCGAGCTTTTCGGAAGTGCCAGGCGGGTACGAAAGGTTGCCTGACATGGGTTACTCGTCAGCCAAAGATGACCACATTCAGCCAAGGACAGCTTACCATTGTTCAAGGCAATCGCGGACAGCACAGGCGCCGCACCGACGGCAAAGTTGTTTGATGGTTCAGAAGCAAAGTCACGGCCGTAGAGCAGAGCAACACCCGTGTGATTCAGCGTTTCGCTCTGTAGTTGGAAGAGGCCAGTGGAGGTGACGGTCAACAGCTGGAGAAGTAGAGTTCCGACGATGGTGATGGACACGGGCCAGTGAGCGCTCTTGAGCGATTTGTACAAGGCGATTGGTCGTGCCGGCTCAATGTAGTCGATCAGCATGGTGTCGGCCGCTGGGGTCGGGCCCTTTCTGAGAATGGCCCACGGCATCATTTGCCTGGTCCGATGTTCGACTTGGCCCCAGAAGGCGGCCACGACGGTAAGCACTGTTTAGTTTAGCACATTGCAAGAGGAGATAGCTACGGGAGGTGTACCAGCAGTAGGGCCATAAGTCCAAGCATAGTGCCTGCTTGATGTTGAGTTCGCCAGGCCTTGATTCTTCTGATCGAAAACACCCAATACAACGAGTGCAACCAACAGCGCGACGTAGGTAAGCGCGAAGCCGAGCAGAGCCATTCTCCGCAGATAGAATGGCGTCCAGGGTCTTGCCGTTCCCACCGACATTCTTTCATCCTTTTCGAGCTCTTCTCGGCCGGACCGTATGGCGACGAGGTTGTTATCGCCTTGCGGTTCCTTGCTGGCCCCATTCTCGACCAGAGTCTCAGCAGACTGCTCCCCTTGAGCCTCCTCCAGTGATCTCCGGTCATCACGGAAGCCGCTCGCAGGGTCATCGAGGTCGTCGGAAGCTCTTGAGACAGGAGAATAATCATCAGGCCCAGGCTGATTCTCTCCCGGGATATCCTGCGAGCGTCTTCCAAGGCTGGAAGCGGGGCTGACTCCAAAGCTTCCAAAGTAGCCGTCGGGGAGCATGCCGACTTCTGTCAGATATTCGGATTCCCCGCTCGAAGATGACAAAGACGATCTCGTCGAGGCGTGGTGGCTGCCTGCCGCAGCGACGGAGCGGGCATGGCCTCCCTGTGGCGGAAGAGGCTCATACTCGTTTGTAGGTCGAGCATCCATCGCGGCTCTCAAAGGATCAATGCAAGCGGAGAATGAAGACGCGAGGCGACCACGCTCCAAGCGCGACAGGCAGGGAGAGGTGATAAGGATTATTTCACCGCTGGCGTACGGTGGTCATTCAGCTCCCACGGGATGATCGCCGCACAGCCCGTTTCTAAAATTTGGCTTCTGCCTTGCCAGTGGTGCTACATACAGACGGTTGTGTAACGTATGCACTGATAGACATTTTGCCGATAGTTGCTGAAACGGAAGCAGGGGTGGGCTATTGGGCGTTAGGCCCGGGTGTGGTCGCTCGAACTTGGGGGCGCAGCTGAGAAAGCGGCCAATCAGTACCTACCTACAGAAAGCGCTTACTTTACTCCTTATCGGCTGCGCTCTCTTCTCCCCAAGCTCCCGCCTTCTACACCATAACAGCTATATCGGGAAGCCGATACGGATGCCTGGGAAGCTGTCAAGCATTGTCCTCACCGCATCCACCGCCGCGGTCCTGCTTGGCCCCTGCAGGAGTGCAAAGAGAACGTCGTGCCTGTCGATCCGGCCGAATCCGTACGTGTTATGGTCGCTTTCGGGCTGTGTCCACTGCGCTGGACGGTCGTGCCGTTTCTCGGCCATCGCGAGCGCTGCCGAATGCTCGAATTCGGTCGCTAAGTGTTATGGGGCGTGTGCTATGGGGCATGCTAGGCTGCGGTGCAACGGCGACCCGAATCTCTGGTCACGAGGCGAGGACGATGATTCAGCGTCAGAAGCAAGATTTTCGTTGGTTGAAACCACATGCACTCGCCGGTTCCTCTTCTTGATTGCAAAGGTATTCTGAATTCTCATGGCCTACGTCTTGCGCAGGAGCAGTATGTCGGACTGGATAATTCCGAGTCTACAAGCCTGATCCGATACGTGTCCCACAGCGATCGACAAGAGACAAGTCGCTTGCGTGGCCGTTGAGGGCCGGGAGACAATCTCTTTGAGTCATCTTGCGGTTACCTACTACCAATACAGGGTGAGATGTGGAGCCGAAGCATGCGGACGCACTTTTAGCAGCACACTGCCTACCGTTTCTACGTCCCGATGGTGCAGTGCTCGCAATATGCCCCTGGTCACAGTACAGGCAGCAGCGCTTGATGCGGAAGTGTTCCCACGCAGCACATTCATCGACGGTGAGTTGCTGTTGTATTGTGCAGTGATAACCTCTGTTAAACGATGCTGGATGAACTGGGTAGCGCTACGTACTATGAGGAGGCCATATTACCCTCTTTCCACCGGTCTGTCGTCATGTTCCTCGTCCTCTTCGTAGAAATCAAACATGGCTCCCCGCACAAGCGCCCTTCGCGCACCTAAGTCTAAGACTTGCTTGTTAAACTCTTGCTCCTGCAAGATTTTACCGTGAAGGACCGCCTCGTATGTACAAAGTCCTGCCAACTGCGACCATCCTTCCACCATCATCGTCGGCTTTATGCTCAAAGGACAATGTTATCACGCGAAGCACTTGTTCGTCAGCATCAATCAATATGGACTGCTATTCCGGACCATCGCATACCGGCTTCGACCGAATTACCGGTGCCTCTTACCAGCGGAAGGGCTACAGCAAATCGAACAGCCTTGCATAGCGTGTCTTGGCCAAGGATCATGGTTTCCGTCATGTACCACTTGATAATTCGCCATGTCCCCGATGGGTGCACAATATTAGCACCACGCACGTGTTCGGCATTCAGAATTAGCCGGGCTTGCGTGTCGCAGTACAAATCTATATAAAGCCGTTAAGCTGCTAGCATCTTCATCGCTAAACTCCTTCGTCGTCTATTACAAGTCTTGACATTTCTTTCATATATCACCACAATGCCTGAAGTCCTCGATCTTGGCACAATTACCGATCTCAACACTGAGCCCGACATTAATCCCTTTGTGAATTCCTCGGTCTCATCTGGCACCGCGAGCGACGATGTATTCGGCGACATGGAACTTGTTAAAAAGGCCACACGAGACGCTGAAACTGCCCCCTCCATGTGGTTCGTCAACTTTCTCGACCGGGAGGTTGACGGAACGGCCAAACTGCGACGAAGTAAGCAGGATGTGGAAGACTACCTGGCTTGGGCAACGACCGTATGGTGGACCAACGTCGCCAACCACCCCGCTGTACCGCAAGATGAGAGCTCAGAGTCCTCCGCCGCCCGCACTGCATACCACGCCAAGGCTGCCGCACATCATGTGAAGATAACCCCATGCTGTGTCGTAGTCTCTCTCAATTGAACCTTCTTATTCATTATACTAAATGCGCACAGGCTCGCTCTGAATTTTGAGACCGATGTCTCCAAGACTATCGAATGCAGAGTCCCTGATTTCCACACCGAGCTGATCCGAGCCGTGCTGGATGGGTTGTCGATACAACACCAAAAGTTTTATCGAACTTGGAGCAAATTCTGGACTCCCTGCGTCGTTTGATTACGCAGGTTTCCCACAGTTCCGAGGCAAGGACCCTATTTGGCGCGCGTCATGAGTATAACGCTGAGATGGACGATGTGACATCGCGTAAGGATGGATGCAGAGTTTCCAATTTGAATCGTTTGCTTATCACCACCCATATATCCGCGTCATTTCCTTCAGCATCACCGAGAACATGAAGAACATCCAAAGGGCCAAGAAAACAGAAGCCTGGGTTGGATGTGAGATCAGATACAAGGGACATGGAAGCAAACTTCAACCACTCGCTATGGAAAAAGATTGAACCAGAATTCGGCAAGTTGTCAAAGAAGCACATGAGAGAATTCGTCAATCAACAGACGATAGACTGCCCGCCTTGAGTGCTGTTGACATCATCAACCGCCGTTATCTTTTTTCTTATATTCTAAATTCTCATAATGGTGACTTGTGAACACCAATAATGCTTCTTGTATGTGAACTATCGGGTCACCACCCTTTCTCCTGCCGGTACAGGCTGGAGTGATTGACACGCACTACGTAGCCTCACACCGCCTGTGCAATATCACAGACATGACAGGTCACCACTCATTAGCGGGGACCAATCAGCAACCCTCCAGCGTACTCAGCTCTCGGTCCTGCCAACCGCCTGGATGTCTAGTTTCATACACCAGGGTCCACCAGCCGGCACCGCATCGTGTACTCTTTAGGGCGCCTAGCGCATCATGTGCTGCCCCAATTGCTCGATCCAGTTCCCCGTCATGCCCTTCTGCCTGCTTTTGGACCTTCTCAGCTCCGCGTAACGCGGCCCCAACACCCCCAGCAGATACCCGCTTCGCACGACTTCAGACATGGTGATGGGTTTCACCCGCCAATCTAACTGAATCTGGATTTGGAATTCCCCGCTCTATGCCGATTAGCATCCTCGTTGCACATAGGTGACAAATGGAACCGACCTACGGCGATATAATTCCTTGATGGGAGCCAAACGGCAAGACCTCGCCCGTTCATCCTCGCGCCGTAGGAGTTGGTGAGGCCGGCGCGCTGAGGATGCAAAGTGACCCCGAAGCTCATGGGGATATCCCGTCCACAGCAATCCACGTGGTACCAGAGTCGTCAGCACGCAGCACGCATATGCACACACATGCTTCCTGAGCTAAGTAAAAAGCGAAAACAGCGGAGCAGCGTCAATCCGATGCGAGGCTGGCGGAGGGGCCTCCTGCGCATTGCTTTTGCGGTCGCGCGCGAGAGGCAGCCAATGGACAGACGAGAGCACATTGGCGCCGCAGGAGGGCTATACGGAATACTCGAAAGAGTACCGAGTGGTTCTGTTGTCGGGTCGGGCCGCATATCGGCTAACTTACCTCGCGGAAGAGCGGCGGGCCCCTCACATCGCCCTTGATTCAGCTCCCGCCTCTCTTTCCTTTGTTGGCGCTAGCTGAATATCCTAGCCAGCTGCGCCTCACTTGTCAATGCCGAGTGCTACTGAGCGGCCCATCTATTACCCACATCAGACACCGGCATGGTTGCGTTTGCTTTAATGCGAGTTGATGGAGGGAGAGGTTAGGTTGGCAACAGATGGCTGGTGGCCACTGATCAGCAAGATTTTTAGTAGGCGATAAGAAAGATTTGCCTTGTCTAGCGTAGATTAACGAAGACAAATTAACAATCGGTTACATGCAGCTGATGAGCCCGGCGACGTCACCCCCAGAAGGACAGCTCAATCTAAGCCATTAGCAAACATAGCACACGTCACCAAAGCAGAGGCAGGGCAGGGCATGCGACCGCCAATAGAACAAGCTAGCCAGGGGCTCGCCCGCGACGTGCGCTGCTGAGCTGCGCCTTTTTCATGTTGACCCAGATGACGGCCATCACCTCGCGCTGCATAGCGCCCAAACGGGCTCAGTTGGCATAGCTGTATCCGGTATGTACCTAGCGTCTGGGGCCGCTTTTCCGTACGCATGTCAGGCCACAGGCGTGACAACGCATGCAACCCTCAGCTGCTCAGGCACTGCAGGCTGACGTCGACGGGGCCAGAGCCGTATTAACGATGCATACTGTGGTCGCAGTCGTATCCTTTGTCACTGCATGGCAGTTGGTAGAGCGTACGGAAGTTATAATAAAGCTCCATCTCGCCCGAAAGCAGATGTGTACCCTACGACCTTGAGCAAATATCAACATGGATCTCCTAGATCGTCTCAATCATCTCACCAGAGCTTCAGTTGAGGCAATCCGGCCTCTTCCACCTCAGGGCTCACCTATCGCCAACGATCGATATGTAATCAAACGTACGGCGGAAGACTGCGTCCACGCGTTTGATAATCAGCTTCGTACCAAAATATGGTTCAAATCACCCGTTAGTTCCAACCCGTTCTATAGCAAATCGCAACAACTGACCCTCTCAGCCCCTCCAATCCCACGTGATCCGTAGGATTCGTGGCCTCAAACTCTTCGCCGAGTCGCACGACCAAGGCTACTTCGACGACAAAAAGGGGGGCAACTGGACCTGGCTTGAGTTGGCCATCCTCGAGGACGAACGCGCCACATCCCCCAAAACAAATGAGGATGGCAAGGAGCTTGTTTGGCTTAGCCACCCGAACAAAGTTGGGTCTTCTTGCTACGAGTGGCTACAGGGCGAGACTTTTGATAAGAGGCGTGACTTCCTTAGCTCGCTCAAGGTAAACATGCCTTCCATGCTTCTTCCAGGCTTGAGCTCACATATGAATAAAGGGGGGGAATGTGATCGCGGTCCGACTCTGTGCTCGCTTTCAAAATTGGGGGATCTATGTGAGAAACGGATACCTGGTCATCGACATCGGTAGTGATGACGGTACGTCCACATCAGTTTCCTTGCTCATGATCCTACTCTAAACGAGGCCGCAGACCCTGTGCCAATCAGGCCCATACCGCTACATGAGAACACCAAGGCATTGGCTCGTCGAAGCGTCACGAAGTGGTTCCAGGAAGCACAGAACCCTGACAACGACACGGCATTGGAGCTATCACTATTCATCAATGCCATGGCGAAGTTTCAGAGTCTGCCACCGAACGACCAACTCTCATACTACCGCATCGCCGGCATCCACAGCTCCCCTCGGAACGTGCCTTGGAATATGGGCAACGGACCGATCCCCTACAATGACCCCAACCTGGATGAACGCATTGAGAGGGGCGAAGGTGGTGCCTACTGTATGCACAACAAAGTGCTGTTTCCCACGTGGCATCGCGCTTACATGATGCTATTCGAGGTGGGTGGCGCCCCTGCACATGGTATGCCGGCGAGCTGACAATGGATATAGCGGACGATTAGCGACCTGATGATGGAAGAGGCGAAATCGCGTCGTCACAAACAATGGATTTTGGCTGCAACTCGCTGGCGGCTGCCATACTGGGACTGGGCAGCCGAACCATGTTTACCCGAACTGGTGCTCATGGAACAGATTAGCATCGTCGACGCGTGGGATCCGGTGACCCGACACGCCCACATGAGGGTGATACCGAATCCTATGTACCGCTTCCAGATGCCTGGTGGTCGCCCCATGGGCGATCCATCGTATGGTGACTATCGCATCGACAATGCTGGAGAAGGTCCTGTACGTATCTTCCGGAGTCCTGCACGACTAGAGACATCACTGACTGCTATGACTAGTGGGATGCGTGTATTGGCACCAGCCGCCATGCCATCAGCTTATATGACGAGCAGCGCCTCTGGGTTCAGGGGCATACTGATGTCACGAAAACCAATGCCGCGCTGCAGCGTCCCAGCTGGCCCAGCGAGCTAGCTGCCAGGGATCTGACCCTTAAAGACGCCGTCTTCCGACTGCTCACGGCCAACTACTGCACAAAGTACGACCATTTCGCCTCTACCAAGCATGCAGATTCGCCAGACCACGCTCAGTGTTACCTCTCCCTGGAGGGGATCCATAATTCTGTCCACGTAAGGGTTCCCCATCCAAGCCTGTGCTTCACTAACGAACATCTCTAACCACCTGAGCAGAATTGCATTGGCGGCAACAATTTCTTATCCGGCTTAGGTCACATGGCTTACGTGTCCGTAGCCGCATTCGACCCTGTTTTCTGGCTGCATCACTGCAACGTTGACCGGCTTCTATACTTGTGGCAATGCTCGAATCCTGATAAATGGATTACTCAAATAGGTGGAGATGATGGCGCGGAGACGGATCTCGTTCCCTTCCACCGTTCTGGCCGTCGTAATGACTTCTTCAACTCCGACGGCCTCCGCCGGCCAGACAGCCTGCATTACACCTTTGACGACATGGAGAGCATCGTTGACTCCGATGGGGAAATCTGCAAGGAATACCTCAACAAACACATCAACACGCTGTATGGCCCTGTGCCCTCTGCCTTCAACGACCCGAGGAAGGACGTAGACCCCGTCATCAATATCATCTACGACCGGTGCGTTCTTACGAGATTGCTTTCTTCCGCCATCACGCTCACGTTACACACTGACACTTTCACGTCTCCCTCAGCTACGCCCTCGATGGCCTCCAGTACGCCCTGCACTTCTTCCTCGGCCGAGTTGACCGCAACATCCCGTATCAGCACCAGCGCAACCTCGTTGGAAGCGTCTACACCTTCACATTCCCCTTCGCCGGCCCCAACGGCACCACGCGTTGCCCAAACTGCCGCCAGCAAGCCAAAGCCGGCGTCCTCTCGCACGCGCAGATTCCCCTCACACGCTCCGTTGCGCAAGACGAGCGCCGCACCCCCGCCGACGCCCGCAACTACTTCCAGCGGGAGCTGCAATGGGTCGCGGTCCTAGACTCCGGTGCCAAGATTCCGAGCAAGACGCTCGGAAACGCCCTGGAGATTACGCTGTTGCTTGGCGCCAATCAGCTGCCCGATGGGCTGGAAGGAGAGCCCAACTTCAGTGGGTATGAGCCGGTGGGGTTTGACTGGAAGAATGCCGAGATTAGGGACACTCGCGTCTAGTGGCTGTCCTTGAGAGTGACGGGCGCATGGCGGGGTTGCGCTGGGTAGATTCGTTCGGGAGTTGTGAGCTGCGCGGCCACCAAGGCATGTCATAAAACCTGGAGTTTTATGTATATATACTATGGGGGCAACCGTTCCTTTCAGCAAACGACGCCACATTCCGGAGGGAGGGTCCTCACGGAGTCGTCACTGCAAGAGTTTGGCTTAGGTGGGAACGGGGGCGATGGGGTCACAGTCCCCGCTTCACTCATTTTTTTTTGCCTGTTCCCGAGTTCGAATCCTGTTAGCTATTGAGTTGTTTCTTTATGCTGCTTGTTTCATGTCACTAAGTGCTGTGGTGTCACTTCCGGTTTGGTCACGAAACCATCCATTGTCTGCTAGAATCTGACTACAAGCTTGCCAACCCTGGTCCTGTCACTCTACAGCCACCTACCCGTCCAGCTTCAAGAGAAGACGCGCCTTGGCCAGTTCAAGGCGTAGAGTGTCGACGTCCATTGCGAGGATATCATCCTCTCCTGAAGGCTTCCGCTGCTCAACCAAGGGCACGTACTCGTCCACGTTGTTGCTGTCAAGTGCCAACTTCTCGGCGTTGGCTTCCTTGAACATCTTGATAGCAGTAACAACGTCTTCCCGGCAGACACCTTGAGACCTGATCCTCTTCTCATACGCCTCACGTATGAAGTCCAGTGCCTGTTGCCTCGTGCCACTGTCCGGGGTGAGCTCGGCGAGGACTGCCAAGTGACGAACGACACCGGATCCCCATTTGTCCATGTCTCGCTGCTTGTCACCTGGATACTGACACTGAGCCGGGAGGTATTGAGTCACGTCGTGACCCCAACGCTTCTGCAAGTAGGCTGCAGCCTCGTCGGACGTGGCCTTCTCCTCCATCGTCTTCTGCCGAAATGCTTCTTCCTTCTTCCACGCTCTCACCATCTTGGACTTCCTTTTCTTGACAAACCCGGGAGCAATGGCCAGCGAATCGTCATTGGCCCTATCCGTCATGGCGCGCGAACCATGGGGGACGTTGGTCGGGGAGATGGTAGACGCGTCGTCGGCGTGGCTCTTCAAGTGAGACGCATTGTCGGCGTGGCTCTGTAAGTGAGACGCGTCAATCATCAGCGCTGTCTGAGTGAGAATTCAAGGGAGTATGGGATGAAACAAACGGGCAAGATCTTCGAAGCCGTTCCCAGACTCGTGTCGCTCTCACTGTCGTCCGTCTGCTTGACCTCGAGCTCACTCGCGACGGTGTGGTCGTGCTCGCCGCCGCCGGTACCGTGCTCCAGGATGGCATTCTCAGCTTCAGTGCGGGCGGCGCCCGTGTAGTTGCCGAGTGAGGTGAGGAGCTTGTCGTGACGGCTTGGTCCGTCCTTCGTGGCGCGCATGCGGGTCGTGTATGGTTCGTAAGGCGTAAATGCCTTCTTCGGGGGCCACTCCATGGCCGTGTAATGCCTCAGCTGGCCAACGTGAGATTGACGGGATGAGGGTGGAGGGTAGAAGAAGAGTCGGAGGTTGTGCGCAGAAAAGCGGAAGTATTTATGTGCCGGGGAAGTGTGCCCGCGATGCAGCAGTCCGCGTGCGCGGCCCCACCATGCGCTCGCCGCGTTTAGTGTTCTTCCCTTCTGGGTAAGTGACTGGTCCATTTTGTGTGCCATAGCTCAGAAAAGCACATTAGTCAGTGAGCCAGATGAACCATGGTTTGGCCGGAGAGCAGTGAGGTGAGTTACAGAGATATCCATATATAAATGCTAATTTACGTATGCAGTTGTGAACATCGTCGTTATCGCCTTAACCCTCCATTTCATCCTTGATTACCGAGGCTCCCTTGAGACGAATCGTCATTATGCCTTCTCCCTCCGACCCACTGGTAGCCCGGCGGCAAACAACGGTAAATTTGTCTGCAGTGAAAGCACAGCCAAAGTGAAGCAGCAGGGAGTTGAGAATCTTCAAATGTCTTTGTCTTGTTACGGCTGTCTTTGCTCTAAAATGCTAGCTGGACAAGACAAGGCCTATCCGGCGAACCTTCTCTCCACATTGAAGTCTTCACAGTCCAAGACAGTGGAATCCGCCGTCCCCTCCCCATACACCCTCCAAGCCCATTCCACTCTCGCTTCCTTCCCCTCCCTACTTCTTCCCCAACAACCACCCAAACCCCTCCACAACCTCCCCCACCGCCTTCCTCGACACCTCCAACTGCGGATAGAAGCTCCAAAACGAATGCGGCAAGCCCGGATACACGACCAGTCTCGTCTTGACACCGCACTCGGTCCTCAACAACCTCTCATATATCAACGCCTCATCGCGCAGCATATCCAGCCCGCAGACCTGGATGAAAAAAGGCGGCAACCCCTTATGCCCCGTGGGCCAATTTAACGGCGCGAACAGATGCGACGAGCGATCGGGGTTGTAATTCCCAAGCAAAAACCCCACCCCCTCCACATCCAGCCCCGGCGCTTTCTTATTCTGCTCGTAGCTCCGATAATCCGCCCTGTACTTCTCCGGCAAGCAGTTCGCCTCGCCAGGCTCGCCGCCACCCGGAAGCACGACGGCCGGGATGCTAGCAGACACGCCGGTCAACGGCGGGGCGAGCTTCTCGTCGCGCGCCAGCAGCGCCAGGACGACGGCCATGTTGCCGCCGGCGGGGTCGGCGGCGACGACGTGCGGGGAGGAAGGGGAAGCGTTGGCCGCGAGCCACCGGAGCGCGTCCCAGCAGTCGTGGACGGGCGTCGGGAAGGGGTGCTCGGGCGCGAGCCGGTAGTCGAGGCTGACGGCGACGGCGCCGTGCTTTTGGACGGCGTGCACGCAGTTGACTTCTTCGAACTCGGGTGCGCCTACGCACCACCCGCCCCCGTGCAATGCCACTACGAGGGGCCGGCCCTTTCCGGTACCGCTCGTTGGTCGGTACACTGCGGCTCCGATACTCGCGCCGTCGCGGACGGGGATGCTGATGCGGGTCTTTTCGACCCCGTCCATGCTTTCTGGGATGTTGACACCCGGGATGAGCGGCTTCGGGGCAGAGAGGAGGGCGGCGCGGAGGGCGGGCATGTCGGCGCCAAAGGCGGAGAGGGAGGGTATTGGCCCGCCGGCGTCGACGTACTGGGTTTTTGAGTTAGTTGTAGGAAGGAAAGGGAGGAAGGGACCGGGAGATGAGGGTGATGGAGAGGCACGGCGGGGTGTAACGATGTGTTGACGGGAGTTGCATGCTTGATGGGAGGCGCGGATGGTGAGAGGACGTACAGCTTTGAACTCCGGGTTCATGGTGGAAAGATCTGTCCACTTGGTATCGGTCATGTTTGCGTGTAGTAGAGGTTGTTTTGTTTGGTGCTTCTGTTCTCAGTGCTGTTTTGGTGGGATGGGTTGAGGTTGAGTTGGGGTTAACTGGATGGTGGGGTAACGCCCCGGCGCCCCGCAACTAAGTACTGACGGTAGTACCCAGCGAATGGGGTAGTACAAAAAGCAATGATGACGGAGTCTGACAAGCGGGGATCTCCGGGAGACGATACTGAAAAAAGCAATAAGCACTGTCAGTCAACCCCATCGCAATCAAGCGGAGTAGCACAAGCAATGGAGGCACGGGTGCAGAATTCCCGAGCCGGCCGAGAGAAACTCGTTATGATTGGGTGCCACTCATGCTTTAATTGCCGTTTCGGATGCACTAGATCAACACCTAGTCATGCGCAGGCCGGATAGCCATCCCATTGAAAAGGAAAATCGGCGAGTCTGGGGATTGATGCGTATATTGATCTCATTACGGAGGGTGATTGTATGACTAGTGTAAGGTAATCGTTTGATCGAGTATTGCCTTACCGTACCTGAGCCGTGACTCATCCTTTCATCTCTACATCCTCAAGAACCTCAACCTCTGTAAGATCGTCGTCTGAATCTGATGGGACTGACGAAAGATCAGACATAGAGTCTTCCCGTGTCCTTGCTGGATCGACTTCGGAAACTAAGTCGTCCCTCTTCGGCCGTTGGTCGGGTGGTACATTTGCATCTGTAAGCATCAGAAATCAGGTCTTGACGACGAACGCATTGTACTTGCCGTCTTCAACCATCTGCACAAGCAGCAGTAAGAGCTGCTCGCTTTCCTGGAAGACCTTCTCCGCCACTATCTCAGCTGACCGTAAACCGCCACCACCAGACTTGTTTAGACCGCGGGCTTTCTTCTTTCTGGCGCGAATGCCCTTGAGAGCTTGCTCAACCCAGTTTCTGTTCCATTTCATTTCCGGTAGAGTTATCTGCACTACTTGTTGGAGCAGGATGCTGACCTTTGCGTTGTCTGCAAAACTATGCGTATTGGCCGCGTAAGGTAGGAAATGCTCAGCCCATTCAGCTTGGGATGGCGGTACAATACCGTAATGAGGAGGTGAGTGAGGTAGTAGCGGAAGGAGTGTGTTGGCGGCTAGAACACATTGAGCAGGTACAGGAAGCATCGAGGTGCGAATCAAGACGCCGAACATCGAGGCAGGCAAAGGGCGTAAATGTTCGGTATATGAATCGAAAAGCTGCGCGCGAGAAGTAACGTGTGTCGGAAGCCTTTCCGCAATAACAGAAAGCTAGTGGTCATGAGTGGTCAGCGGTAGAATCAAGGCAGCAAAATAGGATTTGGTAATAACTCACGAAAGCCAACATGCGTTGGCGCAGGTGCAATGCATCCATCCCTCCAAGGCGTTCAACTGGTGAAAGTCCATCGTCTCCAATGTCATCGGATGAATCCGAACTCAAAGAGATTATGGAAGTTCGTCTGGTATTGATGTTCCGGCTGCTCTTGCGGAATGGCAATCCAGAACCGTTCCTTGCATCGGCGTCGTCGATATCATCGTCGTCGTCAGGTTCTTCAAGATCACCAAAGTCTCCTTCTTCAAGCCTCATCTCCTTGATGGGCTTAGCGCGTTCCTTTTTCTTCCCCAAGAGCTCGTCTTTGAAGACCTCTTTGAACTCACTGGTAGCTTTGACTCCGCCATCTGCAAGTGTAGCACGGAGCATCATTCTCCGAGCAGACAGCGAGCCCACGTTAGCGGTGACCAGGTACTGCACGATGATGCTCTGTTGGAGCAACTCGTCGGTTGTCACACCATCCCGCCCGAGCTGCTCCTCATGCAACCTGTTACGCTCGTTCCAATCGGCCTCCATGACCTCGAGCATCAGCTCTAGCCAGATCTTCCATCGTTCCCACCTTTCCTTGTGATTCACAGAGCATATGAAGGCCCAGCCCAAAACATGCCAGAAGTCGTCCGCTTTGGCCCACAGGCTATTCTTGTTCGCTACTGCAGACTTGATCGGCCTCTCTTCCTCTACTATGTTGCTATCGCCATTCCTTGGTGAACCAAAGGCTCCACGTTTTCTCCACGTACGGCTTCTCGATGAACCAGATCCGACGAAGACAAAAGCGTTTGCGAAGCCGGCGTTCACCGGCCCGATGACGCGGTTCACGTCGCGGAGGTATCTGACAGCAGCGTTGGAAGCGTGTATTTGGTCGGGCGATGATGCCCTGGTCGTAATGGCAGGGTAGACAGCAAGGGTCGCGGAGAGCTCGAACAGCTGAATTGGTGGAATTTGTGCAGGTGGGCGATCTGATGAGCTGGACGAGGAACCGGATCTCAAAAGACTAGTAAGCAGGCTATAGCCTTGAAGGTCTGTAGGTTGTTAGCGGGAGGTGGTATGGTGAGGTCGGATAGCTGTACATTGGCCTGACTCCAGATACACACCGCAATGATGGGCGAGCTCGAAGGGTAGCCGGGTCGCTTGTCTGTAGCGAGCGGGAGCAGCAGCATTTGCGGGTGCTGGCGAATTCCGAGAGGTCTGGGTGGTAGAAGGAGGAGTGAGGAAAGCTGTCTCCCCGCCGCGAGCGGTGGCGACCGAGGCGGGCGATTCAGCAGCCATGGTGTGGGGTGTGTGGGGTGTGGGGATGAGCATGGCCGGAAGACGTGTCGGCGTCGGGCAACGAAAACGCGCGAGCACGTGGCCAAACGCTTGGACCACTAGAAGCAAGCGGCAGCGGCCGATGCCGGGGCGGCAGGCGCGTCATCGCACTTGCTGACCGCCCACTTCTGGCGCCTGCCCCGAACACCACCTGACGCGAGAGGACCAATCCCGCGGAGTTGTGACATGCTGCTCCCTCTGATGTGTGCCGTCGCACAACCTCCACCTCCCTGACCTTTCTACTTCAACCCTCTCCCACACCTCACTCCAGCGCTCACGTACCCTACGCATCCATCTGCCCTCAGGACAGCGCTCGCCATGCCGTCGACCACGAATCTTCGCCGCATCACGCAGCACAACCTGCAGACTTTCCGCGATGCCCCGCTGAGCGAGCTTTCTGGGTCGCTGGGTGACCTCGGAACTTTGCTTCCTCTACTCGTGGCCCTGACCCTCACCCACTCCATTTCTCTGCCTGCGACTTTGCTGTTCACCGGCGCCTCAAATATCCTGACTGGCGCGCTGTTTGGCATCCCACTCCCGGTGCAGCCCATGAAGGCCATCGCCTCCATCGCCATCGCTCGCAGCTACAGCTTACAGGAGACTGCAGCTGCAGGCATCGGCGTCGCTGCTGTTGTCGGCATCATGAGCGTGACAGGCCTGCTGAGCTGGGTCACACGGGTGGTCCCTATTCCGGTTGTGAAGGGGATTCAGGTTGGAGCTGGCCTCAGCCTCGTTCTCTCGGCAGGAGAGAAGATGCTCAAGCCCCTTGGCTGGACTGGACCTTCCCCGGTCGACAATCTGCTCTGGGCTCTCGGCGCTGCACTGGCGCTGCTGGCCTGTACACGAGCGCCGCGGGTGCCGTACGCCCTCCTTATTTTTATCCTTGGCCTTATCTTAGCGGGCGTGAAAGCGCGCGCGAGCGATATGGACAGCTCCAGCATCATTCCCAGCATCCCAGTCGTGGTACCTTCGTGGGCTACTTTCGGCCGCACTTTTGTGACCGCTTCCCTTGGCCAGCTTCCTCTTACCACGCTCAACTCGATTATCGCTGTGACCCATCTGTCCGCTGACCTTCTCCCGAATGTGCCGACCCCTACTGTTACTGCCATCGGATCCTCCGTTGCGGCGATGAATCTTATTGGATGCTGGTTCGGAGCCATGCCCGCCTGCCACGGCTCCGGTGGCCTCGCTGCTCAACACCGGTTTGGAGCACGCAGTGGCTCCTCTGTCATCCTGCTCGGCATCGTGAAGATGATTCTGGGTCTGGTCGGAGGCGACAGTCTTGTCCGTCTCCTGGCGAGCTTCCCGAAGGCACTTTTGGGTGTTATGGTCCTCGCTGCGGGCGTCGAGTTGGCCAAGGTTGGCGAGTCTCTGAACGCTGGTGCAAGGGATCTGTGGGAGGAGGCCGAGATGGAAGCTTCGGGTGTCCTCACATTGGGAAAGAGACTGCGTGAGCCGAGCGAGACGGAGCGAAGAGAGCGCTGGGCGGTCATGATGGTCACTGTCGCGGGGCTGCTGGCGTTCAGGAACGATGCTGTTGGCTTCGTCGCCGGACTGCTTTGGCATTGGGGTCAGAGAGCGCAGCTGCCGAGGCTGCAGAGGCCGACCTGGTGGCAGCGATGGAGGACGGGCAGGGAGAGGACTGCGGCTGGCGAGGAAGGGGAAAGCCTGTTGTAACAGGATTCATCCATGGCCGGACATTTGCAACAGGGGACAGCACTCACAGAACGAACGCCGCTAGTCACGTGCTCGCAGCGTCGTCTGGTCACCCAGCAGGTTGCCTCGACCCGCTCCTTCCAAACCGGACAGTCGTCCCTTCTCGAACTGGACAGCCGCCCCGGTAAAATATAAACGCACACAGGCTGCCAAAATTCTTTCTTCCGCACCTCCAGACCAACATTCTTCTCGCATGGCAAGCATCCATAACACCGATAGCGCTCTGCGCATTATCCGCGCTGCTTTCACGAACGCTATCTCTGGTAAGGGTGCTGCAAATGGTTCTCCTTCAGATGGTGCTACTATTATGAAGAGGCAGGCTGCGCAGCGCGCTTCTGAGACTTTCAAGCCCGACGCCCACGTTCCTCGATCGCACGGAGGTATCTGGAGCACTAACGGCCCCATCCCGCCGGACGACGGATACGGCGACGTGGACTTGAAAATCGCGAAGATCTCCGAGATCGAGACGCATTTCCACGCCTGCTTCGCTGAGGTTCTAGCATCAGACCATCTACGTGTCGAGGAAGCACTCTGCATGCCGCTCGACCTTCTAGCCGCTATAGAGCGCCTGGTCAAGGACTACAACCTTGACATCGACCGCTTTAAAAGCATGGCTCTGAACAAGATCAAAGACACGGGCGGTGCCTTGACTCTCAGCAACGTCCTCGCCATCGAGCAGGATATCAAGACGGAACCCGCCAACCGCGACCCCCCGTACACTCTGACATGCACGCCCGTCTGGCGGTCCGGCGATAGCGCCCGATTCAACAGTAGCAACCGTGTCCCCTCTGCTTATCTGGAGGCCCAGAACGGCAACAGTTCCACCACTACGTTGCCTGCCACTCCGACCTCCTTTTCACCCCTCACCACCGCGGACTCTGTTCTTTCTTCTTCAGTTGGCGCCGCCGCCAATCAATCCATCATCCACCGTGGCCCGATGTTCGTCACGCCGGCTAAGCGCAACATTTCCCTCGACGAGACGTCCGTTCAGCAACGCCGTCCTCAACGCCCTTCGACTGCTTCCTCATCACAGGCGTACGAAGGCATGTCGTTGTTGGAATCAACGATGCAGGACATCATCGACCGAGCCGTCAACGAAGCTGAGGCTCGGCACATGCAGGAGCAGGAAGCTATGGAGGCCAATCACCAGGTTGATCTCCAAACCATCCAGGCTCATTACAGCACCAAGATCAATGCCATTGAGTCCAAACATCAGGAACAGCACCAGGAGCTCGCCCAGACTGCCCGTATGAACAGGGCCAAGGAGGCGGTGCTGACGAAGATGTTTCAGTACCAGTGCAGGCAGTTGGCTCAAGAGAAGGCGGACTTGGAGGCTCAAATCGTGGCGCTCAAGGACCAGAAGAAAGACGTGGAGAAGCACTGCCAGAACCTTGAGGCACAGAACAAGAAGGCGTCCAAGCTGCAGGATGACATGAAGAAGCTTCAGGATGACAAGAAGAAGCTGCAGGATGATAACCAGAAGCTGCAGGATGATAACCAGAAGCTGCAGGATGATAACCAGAAGCTGCAGGATGTCAAGCAGAAGTTGGTGCAAGATGTCCAGACACTGCAGAACAATCTCGACATGGCCGGAGGGAAGATGCGCAATGCTACGTACTTCTTGAACCTCGCCTGGAATTCTCTGGTTGCTCAGCTTGATGATGCAGCAAACGTGGTCCAACCAGACGCGAACCAGTAGTAGTACTGGCGCTTTTGTTCCCAGCTCACGGGTAGTTTGTACTGAGGCTCTCTCTTAGACCTAGTTCTAACATGGTTGAATGAAGACATCCACATGGTATTGGAGTGATTGATTAGGTGCCTCTGTGTGAGAGTAGTAGTGACAGCTATGCCCGGGTGTTTGCTTCCGGTCATCCAAGTGTCAGTCTCTGGCTCGTACGCACCCGCCCAACCTTCGCCAGGCCTACTGTCAACTTCGTCGCCCCCTTTGAATGCCCTAGCGCCTCCATTCACCTTCGATGCGTCGCCTTTTAAAGCTAGTAGAGGTAGGCCACTCCTCCACACTACGACTACGATCAAGCTTGAACCTGAGCAACCGCCTCACGACCTCCACCTTGTAGAGCAAGCAACCCCAAACCGCCACTCTCCATCATGGCCACTGACTCCCAACTCCAGCTCACACAATCGAACTGCCTTACTTACCGATCCACCGGATCGATCGCCACCACACCTCAAAACAAAATGCCTCCTCCCGAGAACGACGGCAACGACGGCTATGACGCCGACACCGAGCAGGTCCGTCCGCACGCATCTCCTCCCCATCCTTCCCTCCCAAACCAACATCTCTTCCTCCCACTAACATCCAGCAGAAGAAGCCGGCTACCACCGACAAGCGCAGCACCGACCGTGAAGACAGCCCCTCGTACATCCCGCCCCTGCACGAACAGAGCGCCGAAGAAAGGGCTCTTCGTGCGGAGATCAAGATGGTCAAAGAGGAGATCGCGTGGCACAAGGAGCTCAACAAGAGCCGGGCTGCGCGCGAGGATCAGTCCGAGGGGGGAAACACGGAGGGGGTTGAGGGGTCGAAGGGGACGGAAGAAGTTGAGGGGTTGGATTGAATTACTTCCCAATCTACTCTCGCTACTCCAAAAACCCATAAAGTTTCAAGGAAAGGATTGATGGGTATGAGCGGAGGTTTTCATGTGAGGGTTATCAACACTGAGCGCATTCCCACTCTTGTCACGCAGGGCCGGTAGCTCTATGGTCGTTGATGAACAATCGGAAAACATGTATGCTGGCTTGAATTCAAGGGAATCATGCAACACTTAATAAAGGACATCTCATCCACATATGCAACCAGAAGATACATGGTCTGTTCAAGCCAGGTAACAGAACAACGAGCCACTGACACAAGCAAACATGCCACGAAGATCAAACGCCGCTCAACACAACACACTGAACGTCCAAGACCACAAATTACGACAGACACCATCCAAGGACTCACCTCTCTCCCTCTCTCTCTCTCTCCGTCTCTACTCCCCATCAATAATATGCGCCGCAATCTTCTCCGCCACCATATCTACCACCGCTCGTCAGCCAAAAACAACATCTCCAGTCTCCACCAACAGATCCGGGGGAGATCCAGGGACTTCCCCCC